TATATATATATATATATATATATGTTTGGACTGCCCCTTAGTAAGATTTTTAGGAACTGTGTATTCAGGACCAGCAATCACTTGCCAGTTGCTCTTGCCAACAAACAGTGATGTCACTGGCTAGAATAATATAAGAGATCATCAGAAAATTTAACATTATTTTTGAACTTTCAGCTTTTATGTAGCTGTCAAAAATAAGGAACAGGAATGCAAGAAACTTTCACACACATACAGTGTCCTTTATATCCCCCTACACCAATTACTATGTGCAACAGTTAATGTTATGGAATCTACATTTTCTAAAAATTACTCTTCCAGCATGTAAAAGAACATAAAAACTGCATTATGCTAAGTTACTATGCACTCTCTTGTTTATTGACAAAATGCTTGAGATCCTTATTTAACACATAGAATTTAAAATAGATTCTTGCTGTTTTTGTTGTGTCTTAGATTCTTGGCAGCTACAACCGAGGAAATTTAAGCACTGAAAAATTTGTGGAGGAAATAAAATCAATTGCAAGTGAGCCCACTGAAAAGCATTTCTTCAATGTCTCTGATGAATTGGCGCTAGTCAATATTGTTGAAGCTCTGGGAGAAAGAATATTTGCCCTGGAAGGTAGGACTATTTGACGTTATCCCATATGTTCTCTCTACAATTCGAACTCAATGTGATGGGTTTTTGGTATTTGTTCCTACCACATGGCTGATGCATTGTCACTGTGTACATAAGCCAGCATGGAACAGTGTCCTTTCATATAAATATCTTGATGAGAGAGGGCTCTTCACATAGTACTGTGTCTGCAGGAAGTTCACGGGCAAGGCTGACGGAGGTGATGTCAGGGTACACGTGGCCACGAGCTCCATTCCACTCCTATGACACAGGTTTAGAAAATGGAGACACCAATTCAAGTTTGCTCATTTTGTTTTGTTTCATTTGGGACTACTGTGAGACAGTTCTTAGGCAATAACTTCTTTGTTCTGTTATTTTCTCCGTATTTTGCTCTCTGCCCACTTTAAAGGTCTTCATGGAATTCTGCCTCAAGTCCCATGGCAGTAAAACATCAGTTCATTATATTTGTCATGTTCCCTTTGGCAGAATTTTTTCTTTAATTTTTCAATGGCAACTGTGGATAATGAGTCATAGCATGCCCTCCTCTGACTTAGGTAGAAGATTTCAAGTGACAAATCACTTTGGAACTAGATCTTTTGAACAAAGTCTTCAGAATTGCTAATCCAGGCAAACTGGCAAATGGTAATCTTATTTTCAGAGTACATGGCTCTTCTCAAAATCTTAAAAGGAGAAAACACCAGAGGATTCTGCCCAGATGCTTTATCTACACCCATTTGACTGTCCTTGCAGAAACACACAGGACTGTTGTTTTTGCATCTTAAACACAGAATGTTTAGAATCTCCGAATCTAGAAACATCTTTGCAATCTCCGACATAGTCATCCTTAGTAATAGGAAACAAGATAAAATAGGAGACAACTAAAAAAAAAAAAGTGAGTTATTTAGACTGATAAGTATGTGGCCAGGAAAATGCAGAAAAGTGGGTAACAGAAAATATTTTAAAATGTAGAAAGGAGGCCCTCCCTGATGGCGGAGCGAATTAAAGCACAAGATTTGGCTAAACTGTTTTGACAGCTATCCATAATGAGAAATGTGTTTTGCTTTGTGACCTAGTGTGTCTATTTGTAAACATACAAAATTTATACAACATTTCATGAAATAGTGCCTATTATAGGAAATGTACTCTGATAGTTTCTCATCTCTCCCATTGTACTCTTTCAATTAAAAAAAAAAAAAAAAGTTGGTTCTGACTCACCCTGTTTGCTTCCTAATTGATGACAAGCTGTAAGTAGGAAGTCACGATGGCCCCAGCCTTAATGAATTTCAGGGTTGCTTTTTGTTCTGGTTTCTTTTCTCCTGTGCTTTTAAAAACAAAATACTTGAATTATTTATCAGTCTGAAGTGGCAGCTGCTTCTAAAGAATTTGGCTTTCCTGTTTTGTGTGTACAAGTCACTTGTAAGTGGCTTTGGTCTCACAACTGCTGTCCAGTTTCACCCACTAATAGGTCAGACCGTAACATAACTAACTTTAAAAAAACAGGTTTTCCGTGTCATTGTGAACTTTTACCTTTAATAACTTGTGCCAACATGATAGAAACTATCTGTGAAGAACCTTTGAAAGAAAAACAGTTACGAGATTGTTACATTTCTAAATCTCATTTCTGAACAATCCCATTTCCAAATCTCAATTTAAGTATTTCCTAGAACAGAGAAATGAAGCCTACATCAGCTGTTGGCTGGAACAGGATCAATTTGCCTTACACGACATTTTCAGATTGTTTCTAATCTAACTAACCATACCATGAGTTAGACACATGCATATCTCATGCCCACATAAGCCAAGAAATCTATATTTAAACATAGAAGTATTTTATAGGGCACTTGGCAGATTATAAAATGTCTCCCTGTTGTTTCATTTTCAAGCCTAATCAAAAGCAGTGTTTGGAGTAGCTTATTTCTGATTTTTTTTTCATAATGAGATCAAAAAAGATTCATTTCCTTGTTCCTTAGGAAATCTCCACCTCATCTCAATATTTATCTTTAAATAGTAAATAATAGCAATTATGAAACCCACAGACAGTGGGCTTGCCACAGACAGTGCCTCTAAGGAGACAAGCGTACCAGTGACTTCCCCAGTAAAATCAGAAATGTTCTGAAGTCTTCCTTTCTAATTAAGCATTGGGTGGGAGAAATGCTGAAATCGTTAGAGAGCACACAGGAACTAGATTTGGTTATCTCAACACCCATACACTGTTCAAGGAGGAGGGATGGGTTCTGGGACATAAAACATGCTATAAGCAAGACACCTATTCTACAGGTGGAATATCAGAGTCCCCTCTCTGTTCTCAACTATAAGCAGAACAGCAGCAATAGAAGTTCCTGGAAATATGCAGGTCTTTACTGCTGCTTTTTTATCATAGATCTTGCAAAGGCAAATGAGACAGCACCTTAAAATAGTGTGTACTTAAATGTTTACAATTAAAGTATATCTTATTTAAATTAGAGAGCAATCCATATGTGAAACCGAAATGCTGTCTTTGAATTTTTGATTGATTGTCCCATTCAATCTAGTCCCATAAAAAGGCCATTACTGATGTATTTCTTAACAAATTTATGCCATTAGATAGCTAGTAAATAAGTTTGGTTTCACAAATTTGATTATTCTCATGCCTCAATGAAAAGGAACACTGACTTTCTTAAAAAATTATGTGCTATTTTTAACATATCTGCTCTGCCAAATACATCAGTAACTCCTTGCTGAAACCATAAATAAATAACATTCCCTCAATCCCCTCAGGAGCCTGTGGTTTGGGTAAGTGAATATTTTGAGATTAGCACATTTCCATAGAACCCTCTGTGTTATCTCTGCATTTTAGTTGAGTTTCAGAAAGGGTACAGGACCATTTTTAGATATTTTTAGCTATGTGACTGAAAAATATGTGATTAAATGAAGGCCTGTCCCTTATGGTGCAAGGGGTTAATGCACAGCACTATAAAGCTAGCCACAGCCACTGCAGCATGAGTTCAGTCCCCACCAGGAGCGGACCCACATGGCTTAGCAGACCTCTCCTGTCTTGCCCACTGCTCCCCCCAGCAGTGTATTTCAGTCATTCTTCCTGTTCTGCTGCTCCCCTCAGCAGTGTATTTCAGTCAGTCTGCCTGTTCTTCTCCACACTGTCTCTGGTGAATCCTCTCACACACCACCCCCGCACCCCCCATACCTCTGACTTGTAATCCAGTTTTTGTATGCATAAATAAATAAATCTTTTAAAAAAGAAAATGAAGGCATGTCAAAAAGTCCCCTTCTGATCTGTGAGTGGTACCCATACCAGAAACTAGCACAAACACAAACCCAGAATTGCTACATCCTTTATCAAATAATGGAATAGTAAGAGAGACTACAGCTAGAGAAAGAATGGCAGAATGGAGAAACCCTCTTTAACTATGTGAATGAATCTTTTCAACCATTTCAGATAAGTTTAACCTAAATCATCCTTGCTGAGGGTGTGAGAATGAGACAGAGGTGTCTCAGTACTTCAGCTCTTCTCCAGGGGGTTCAAAGAACCCACAAACTGGAATAGAAGAATAGTAGTATGAATGGAGATTTCTCAGCTCTCCCAGCAAGGGTGGGGAAGGTCATGGGCAAGAATGTAAGACACAGCCTTTCTTCAGCTATCCTTGTCTACCCCTCTACCCAGCCCTAGCTAGGAATTTCGAGTTGAAAAATTTGTAGTTGGAAATGCCCTGAAGATGTTAGAATTCTGGTGGTAAAGACCACAGGCTGTCCTAGATCTCTGTCTTCTGCAAATCAGCAATGTGCTAAAAGCTATTTCTTTTCCTATGTTATAGCTACAGTTGACAAGTCAGCGGCTTCATTTGAAATGGAAATGTCTCAGACCGGCTTCAGTGCTCATTATTCACAGGTACATTCACTGCTTGGTCGAAAATGAAATTCCTTTTCTTTGAGGTTTCCTCTCCCAAAGCTAACACACATGTATCAGCATAACCAGTGCCACTATCAGTTCATGGCTTGAGCAATTACTCAGACCACAGTGACATTTTAATACATTTGGGAAAATGGTTTTCACATGCTTCTTTTTAGGAAAGCATGGTATCTCACAGAGTTCACTACATTGTACAAATGTCTGTGAATCAAGCAGTTTCAGAGCTGCTTTTTAAAAATGTACATCTGGGTAAAGATTGAGATACATCTTTTTCTTAGTGTTAAGGTTTTTAAAAGTCTTGCTAACATTCCATGTTCAAGACCTAGAATTCTTGGCTCCTTAATAAAGCAGAAAGTCAAGACTGAAAAATATGACACTTGTAGTTAATTAATCAATATTTCCTGCAAAAGAATAAAGAATATTGATATTACAGCCTTCCCTGGTGGCACATCGAGTTAAGGCACAGCACTGCAAGGTAACAGCAGCCATACACTTCAATGAGCGCTTGATCCCCGCCCCAGAGGTGACCACATGGCGCTGCAGACCTCTCCTGACCTGCCCACTGCTCTCATCAGAGTGTACTTTGTCAGTCAGCCTGTTCTGTTCCCCACTCTATCTCTGGCGAATCCTCTCACCGCCCTAGCGCCTCTGGCCTGCACCCCAGTTCTGTATGCATAAATAAATAATTTTATTACAAAAAAGAATATTGATATTGCAGTATTGAATATGCAATTATAGAATATAACTTAAGGTTAGTTACTTAATTGGGGTGGTAATAATAACATCTAGCTCATAGGATGATATAATTTAGTATATGTACAAAGTATTTTGAGGAGTGCAAATGGCATTGTTAGTGCAGTGCATTTATATTTAAACTTAAATATTTAAATTTAAATCTTTTAATGTTAAATATCATTGTTTTCTTGATTTGGATATAAGGACTGGGTCATGCTTGGAGCAGTCGGAGCCTATGATTGGAATGGAACAGTCGTCATGCAGAAGGCTAGTCAAATGATAATTCCCAAAAACACAACCTTTGATGTTGAATCTACCAAAAAGAATGAACCTCTTGCCTCTTATTTAGGTAAGTTTTGATAGAATTAATAGAAGTTATTGCTTTTTATTTGTTTTGTTTTGTTTGTTTTGTTTTTTTGTTTTTTTTTTTTTAGTTTTAATAAGGGGAAAAAAGAAGAGATAGTAGAATACATATTATCAAACATCTTATTTTCCAGATTAAGAAACTGGGGAATAAACAAATAAAATCAGAGCTATTTATGGAAGATACGAAGCTAGAATTTAATCCCTTGAGTTTTAGTGTTCATTTTATCATTTAAAAATGCCTGATTATGGATGGGCTGCTCACAAAAGCACTTATAAATAATGAAATAATGATTACCTACAATGGGCCAAACATAGAGATAGAAATTGAGGTTGACCAGGTCAGTAAGGCACAGCTGCCCCCTTAGTGATGAAGCTTACTTTTTTGGTGAACCATGATAGATAGTGAACCAAGCAGTCATTATCAGTGTATGTGTTAGGGCTTAGGAACCCTGAAAAGGTGAAGTTAGATTAGATAGCTTCTGAATGTTCTATATATTCTAAAATTTTGAGAATTTTATGGGAAATACTTTGTACTCATGAGCCAGTTGAAAGCTGAGGTTTCTTTATATCCTAGATAGAAAACTTATAGAACCTTTACCCTCATATATGATGGTTCCAAATAAATCTGTAAAACTCTTAGGAAAGTTCTTTGAGAAGGTGTAAAGCCATAAGAATGTTCACATTGTCCGGAAATGTCCTTTCTGTGGACCTACGCTAACCCAAGGAAAAAATGCAATAATTTAAGAATACTAAATCATTGGTATTAGATATATTGGAATATCCTAAATGTCCAAAATATGAAAGTAGCTATCTAACTGGTATCTCCATTAAATGGAATAGTATGTATCCATAAAAATTATAGAACCCTAATCTATGACACTAAAGATTTGATATGATGATGGCACTGATTATACTCTCAAAGACACTTTGAAGTTATAAAAATTTGTTTTCTGACTCCAGCCATGGGTATGGTTTTAGGTAGTTAATAAGCCTCAAAACTAAAATTTGCAAATTTCTAAAGTATAAATAATATGCGTTACATGTAATATACCTTTTATTTATAATATATATTTGTTTAATTATAATATATAAAAGTTATATATACATACACATATATATTTGGGTTACTATGAATAGAAATTGAGTACTATAGGACAGAATATTGTGTTTAACCCCCACACTCTGTAGATGTTATCTATTTTATCATTATGGAATGTTATATAATAAGCATTCCTCCTATTAGTATTATAGAAGGTATGATAATAATGACCACCGAAGAAATATATGCCCAATCCCCAGAATTAGGTCTGGGTGTGCCGAGCTATTGTTAGTGACTAAATTCCCTACAGACAAAAAGTCAGATGGAGGACCACAGGCCAGGAAACGTGGGTCTCTAGAAGCCACAAAATTGATTTTGTTCTATGACATCTGGAAAAGGAGCCCAGTCTTGCCAACATAGTGATTTAGTTCCAGGGGGACTCATGTCAATAATTGCATTATAATTATAACCTTATAATTAATATAAGGTTATAAATCTGTGATGTGTGAAACCACTGAGCTTGTGGTACTTGGTTAAAACAGCAATAGAAAACTATTATCATTATATTATATATAATACTAATAGTAGCTGACATTAATTCTGTTACTGATTATTACTGAATTTCGCAAAATTAAAAACAGTACATGAAGTCCCAAAAGGTATCTGACATTGTCACTACCCCCAGGAAGTTTATACATTTCAGTTAAATATAACTGTTTTTGGTGTTATGAGCTATATGTGACTAAATTGCCTAAAGGCAAAAAGTCTTAAAGAATCCTAAAGTTTCTTCCCCCAAATCATGGGTTATTGGTAGCTTTTAGCCAATTTAGAGAATTCAAGACATAAAGATATCACTACAATCAAAATAAATAAATAATAAGAGAATGTTCCTTCTTGACCATTTGTGACTCTCAGTTCACAAAGGAAATTTGGGGTTATATTGTCTATAAAGCCCTAAGATAATGTTTTTCCTATTTCAAGTGCAATTTCATTCACTTAGTCACAGATTAGTACAATAAATTGTGCCAAAACAAAGTCTAATATATGAAAACTTTCTTTCAGAATATAAAAACACCCAGAAATGGGGAGGGAAGGAAAATAGATTTTTTCCAAAAATATTCTTAAAAAGAGGCTTTCAAAATATTGTCTGCTGTGAGATACAAATTAAGAATACTCAACCTTGTTAGCCTAAAAAATATGTGAATTGAAAGTTGTTGTATTATAGATCTTAAGAAGGACCAAAATTAGAGATAGATTTCCTATTTAAAAAATATCCATACAATGATCAGAGAGAAGTAGTGACTGTTGCTTGGAACCTTTCTCAGAATACAGTTATACCACCATCTTTCTTTAGCCCAGTCACTTATCTCATTCCGATATGCATTTAAAAAGTGGCTTTGATAGTGAGAATACAGTCAGGGTTAGCTCTACACCTATTTCATTCTCAATTTGCTGATTTCTAATCATGCCAGACAGATTCAGAAGGAATAATATGAAGCAAATGCATGAAATCAAGACCTATTATAGCTGTTTCCATTACCCCAGCAGATCCTAATACTGTTCTCAAGAAATGAATCAGGAGAGTTGACAGGATTTATTATTTAGAAATCAAGGCTTAGTTTTCTGTTTCAGTTTTCCTTTCTCTTCTATTTTGTGCATATTTTCCCAGAAAGCAATATTAAGCTTAAATGTTTATGATTATTTTCCTTCCTTTAAAATTAGACTTTAGTTGACCTTTTTTTTTTTTCTTGTCCTGTATTATCTTTAGCCAACCACACATCAAGGAGAAACAGATTGGCTGGTAGTTATGGTCACTGAAGATTTCAGCTAATGGTTAAAGAGATTAAGTGCAACTCATCAGTGAAATAGCTAAAAAATCACAACTCCAAGACTCAAACATAATTTTCAACATTTTTTTTTTAAGATTTTATTTATTCATACAGAACTGGGGTACAAGCCAGAGATGTGGAGGGTGAGAGGATTCACCAGAGACAGAGCAGGGAGCAGAACAGGCAGAGCTACGAAGTACACTGCTGAGAGGAGCAGTGGGCGGGTCAGGAGAGGTCTGCCACGCCATGTGGATCTCCTCCGGGGCAGGCGGGGATCGAACTCATGCGGAAGTAGTTTAAGCTTCTTTGTGCTGTGCTTTAACCCGCTGCGCCACCAGGGAGGGCCAATTTTCAACATTTTTAATGGTTCTTTCATCAACTTGTATTCCTGTGTCTGAAGTGACCAAATAATTAATTAATCAGCATGTACATATTCTCTCACCCTGCTCCCTAATATTTCTTAGCAGAGCAGCAAGAAATAAAACAGCTTTTATTTTGTAAATGTTTTTTGCCCCCGTTTTATTTATGTATAAACATAACATGAAATATAACAAATTTGAGAGAAAAAAAAGCTTTACTCTTAGGTAAAATTATTTTTTTAAATCTCAAAAAAGATAAATGAGACTATGAGAAAAATATTTAAGACCGAAAGTTTGCCCAAGGACTAATGTTCTCCTACCACTTGTAAGAATAAACATATTTAATACAAAACTCTCTATTCCTTTTTTAAAATTTTTAAAGTACAATTATATTACAAAAAAATACTTGGTGAGTAAATTATTAATATATATACTTTTTCTCATTGTGAAATGCTATTCTGTGGCATTTCAGGAAAAAGCTTTTCTGATGGACACTCTGGTTATTACAATTTCTTCCTTCTATAGAGTTAAAAACTGCATGTGGTCATTTTTATCCACTGATTTAACCCTTTTCTTAACATAGACAAAACATAAATCTAATTTTTCACTCAAGAATTAATAATAATATGCCTTAAAGACAAATTGGAAAGTTTAAAAGGCATGAAAGCCCAATTAAAAAGTGGAATGCTTAAATATAGAAAACTATTCAAGCTCACTTTTAATCAAGCAAATGCAAATTAAAAAATCACAGCAAGTTTCTATTGTTAGATTATGCTTAACACCAATTAAAACATCCACACATTTAATAATAGCAATGATACCCAATGTTTCAAAGAGTTTGATAAAACTAGTTTCTTATATGACTATTCAAAGAATAAATCAGTACAAATGTTCACATACCTGAATAAGAAACATTAAAATGTTGATCTAGTAATCGGTGCCAAAAAATTCTATGCAAAAAATATTTAAATTCAAAATGATCTCTTTGCAGTTTTAATTATACTACCAAAATTCAAAGCTACCTAAATGCCACCATTCCATTAAAAATGGTCCTGTAATATAACACAATGCTTTTATATCTTAACTTAGGAAAATAATCTTCAACTATTTAAAATTATAATTTAAAGTCTAGGTTGTGACACATTTGCTATGATTATAGCTATAAAATATTACTAATTTCTATGGCACAGACACATGCATCCAGATGAAATATAATTGATTTGTTACAAAGTGATAAACTGGTATTTCAAATATCTATCAAAATTTCAACAGCATACTTCCAAAATAACTAGAGCAAAAATTACTGAAATGTATATGCATCACAAAAGACTGAATCACTCCAGAAAAACTGACACACACATAAAGGATAGAGGTGTCATACTCCCAGACTTCAAACTACGTTGCAGATCTGTAGTGAACAAGACAGTTTGTATTAGAAAAAAAAAAAAAAGACATACAGACCAATGGAATAGAATGGACAACCCAGAAATAAACCCATGCTTATATAGATAGATAATTTATGATAAAGAAATAAGCCATGTGTCATAGCAGAACTCCTATCTCATCCGCTGCTCCTATCAGCAGTATATTTCAGTGGATCCGCCTGTTCTGCCCCCCACTCTGTCACTGGTGAATCCTCTAACCACCACCACCACCCATACCTCTAGCCTACAACCCATCTCTTATATGCATAAATAAATAAAATAAATCTTTTTAAAAAATCTACCAATGATTCAGCAAATTCACTCTTGAAGAATACAAAACACTGAAGAAATATGTGCATTCCTGTGATCATTGCTGCACTATTTACAATAGCCAAGGTATAGAAACAAGCTAACTACTCAGTGACTGAAGAGTGGGTAAAGAAGATATGTATAATGTAATGCCACTTGGCTTTAAAAAAAAAAAAAAAAGATGAAATCTTGCCTTTTCCAACATAGATGGAACCAAAGGATCTTATGTTAAGTGAAGCAAGTAGAAGGATAAAGACAAATATCAGATGATTTCATTCTGAATATAGATGAACAATATAAAGGAATAGACAAAACTGAACCAAAAAAACCCTATAAATCCAGCTTTAGAATTTAGATTACCAGAGGAGTAAACTGAGGAACCGAACGGATGGGAGAGAGGGAGTCTGATAGATTACAATGGAGTACTATGGGTTCCTTTGTCATGGGTGTAATGTGGTAACGTACACCTGAAAAAAATGTGAACCTATTCCCCTAGATTATATATAGTGTTGTGAATCAATGTTACTGCCATTAAAATAATGATAAAATAAATAAATAGGAATTGCATGTGTTTGGGGATTTTTGTGTGTGAAGTAATTTTCTTTTGTCATTGCTGTTATATCACCAGTGCCTTTCAACAATGAAAAAAAAAATACTGAGACTGGGGAAACAAACACTCTACAGAAAAAAGTACTTATCAGGTCAGAGCAATTGGGGTAAATAATCAGAAAGCAAACCAATACGATCTACCCAAATTAATTGTCCTGCATTAACTTTTTTAATTATCAAAAAAAAAAAAGAGTTGATGTGAAAACCATTCTTCCAGTCATTTAAAATGAATTTTAATGTATTCTGTACAGAACTTAAGGGCTTAGAGAGTATACAGGCACCTCTTTCTTGTTAGGTTACACAGTGAACTCTGCCACTGTTTCTGGAGATGTGCTCTACATTGCTGGGCAGCCCCGCTACAATCACACCGGCCAGGTGGTCATCTACAGGATGGAAGGCAGTGATATCAAGATCCTTCAAACACTCAGTGGGGAACAGGTAAGCATGAAATTCATTTTAGATTAATCCATTTATTCTTTATCTAAAGTTAAATTATCTGTCTGTTAATCTAAACTTGAACAAAAATAAATCCAGTATCCCCCAAATGAACATCAACATCAACTGAGAATAGGTACCTGAACTTGGTCCTTAGAGGGGTGTAAACGTCTGTATCTCTGTGCCCAGAAATGTCCCTTTGGGTGGGAGTGGAAGATATACAGATGATGCATGTAGATATAAATGTGCAAGGACCGATACAAGAAAAGTGCTAACTATTAAGAAGCATGACTTAGGTAATAAATTCAGAAAATGAAGAGGTTCTTTTAAGCTAGGGTTATACAGAAATGCTCACTAAGAGAAAAATGGGCTATTCTAGAAGAAACACAGAATGTAGATAGGTAGAAAGTAGTAAAAGAGCCAATTTTGGATTATGAATTATCAGGGAGCTCATCTGTGGGACCCATGGGCTGGGCTGTTTGTGTGCCAGCTAAAGCTCAGCTCAGCATAGAGGGCATTGTAGAAATGAAGGTCCCACTTTGCCAGGTCTTAAAAAATTTTGTTCATGTTTATACTTATTTCAACTTAAAAAAATGTTTAAACCATTCATAAGCCTCTGAGAAAAGAATATTTGAAAGTCAATGTCTAGCGGTTGTCTAAATGTCTAGCAATGTCTAGGAGAATGGAGTGAAATTTGCAGTTTTCAGTAATGGAAATATTTGAGGGAGAATTAATCATTTAGAGTAAGATAATGCGCAATTTGTAGATCTAAGTTTAGATGAGACCAAAATTTAGAGGGTAGGAGGAGAAAAAGAAAGGAACAAAGGTAAAAAGAAAGGGTGGTCTATGATGTTGTAGCAGAATCAGAGGAGTAAAACTGAAATCAGGTTAATTAATATAGGAAGTTTCAGTTAGAAAAATATCAAGAGCCTCAGAAATTAACAGATCATATTTGGGAAAGTTATTGCATTTAGATAATGAAGGATAAGTCCCCCACGTTTTCCTAAAACACATCCCTATGTTGAAAAGAGAATATATATTACCACAAGGGGATGCCCTCCATCCACATAATTCTTTCATATTTTTCTGTCGGCCACTGTTGCTGGGACAAAAACTAGCCTTTTTTTTTTTTTTAGTAGACAAACTAAGAATCTAAAGTGAAATGTGCTGCGCTGATGTTTCAAGATAATTCAGTTCTTCATACTGTATTTTATTTCATAGTTTCATTTAAACATGCATTGAAGCCATTCTCATAGGTCTTCTAATTTATATTCTAAATTGGTGTAAAAAAAAATGAAATGCAGGTGTTCACTTCCTTGAAAATTTCTGATGTTCATCAGACAGTTATTTGTTTTGTTTTTGTCCTCTAGATCGGTTCCTACTTTGGCAGTGTTTTAACCACCCTTGACGTTGATAAAGATTTGATTACTGACATTCTTCTAGTAGGAGCTCCCATGTACATGGGGACAGAGAAAGAAGAACAGGGAAAAGTGTATGTGTACGCACTCAACCAGGTAATGGCAACTGAGCTGGTTGGAGATCCAGGAAACTCTTTTTCTTGTGCAATTTCAAATATTGTAGTTCTGATTTTTCACATATTTTGGAATAAGTAAAGGCGTTTTCAGGGCTCATCTATTTTATTAACCCCTTGGTTTCTAAGCCAACATATAGAATTCTAAAGTTGTTAAAATCCTTCCATCTTTTCTACTTGGAAATGTAAAGTATATGTTAGTAAAACATACAGGACATCAGTAAATATAAATCATACTAAATGTTGAATGGATGCATAAGGAACAAGCTATTCATTGTCTCTGGCCTGAAGGTGAGTAATATTAGCAGTTAAAATTGTGTTGGAGGTGATTGGGGAAGAGTGGAGGGATTATAGGGAAGTAGGGATTATAGGGAAGTAGTGATTTTGAAGATAAAGACACTGATATTTTCACCAAACTGCTATAGTATTTGCAATACTTCACTAGGTTGGAGTGAGATTTTGTTTTCCCCTTCTGATGTTAGACATTATTTGTTAGGTAAAATAATTGATTTACTCACTAAAAGAGCATTAGCTGTTTACAGTATTTACCTTTTCAGCTTTTTAAATTCTTAGAGTCTCTCATCTTGAGAAACTCTAATCCTAAGTTATGTATCTTTCTTCCTATCTTTTTTATTTATTTATTTTTTAATTCTTCCTATCGACTTTTTGGTTCTGTGCTATTTTCCTCTTTCTTTCAAGAAAATGATTCCTGTCCATCAATGTCAGTGCTGGATTTTTCTTTTTTTTTCTCACTAAACATCTTTGGGAAAAGTTTCTTTTTGAACAGGGTAAGTTTTCTCTTTGCTCAAAGTGGGAGCATATATAAATTTCAGAAAAAGGATAGTGACACAAATTGATTTTAAAATTCAGTTTTTTTTTACCCTTTACAGAGATGCTGTTATATTCTCACATTAAAAAGAGAATCCATTAAGATCCTTAATATGTCTTCTTTCCATACCTCTGCAATCTGTTCTTTAAAGTCTCTAACTTTGCTTTCAAATTAGCACACTTTTTAAGAAATTTTGCAAATTTTACCATTGATGTACAAATGGTTTTTAAGAGCCCTGATTTAGTATGTGCTTTAAAATTCCACTCTGCTGTAGTAATGATAGAAATCCGTAAGTATCCTGTTTATCTTTCTTCCAGACAAGGTTTGAATATCAAATGAGCCTGGAACCCATTAAGCAGACTTGCTGCTCCTCTCTGAAGCACAATTCATGCACAAAGGAAAACAAAAATGAGCCATGCGGGGCTCGATTCGGAACCGCTATCGCTGCTGTGAAAGACCTCAATCTTGATGGATTTAATGACATTGTGATAGGCGCTCCCCTGGAAGATGATCATGGGGGAGCCGCGTACATTTATCATGGAAGTGGCAAAACTATAAGGAAAGAGTATGCACAAGTAAGAAATAAGATCTCTCGTTCTCACGTTCGGTGATAAGCAGGCTTGGTGTTAGGTCACTTGTCTTGCTTCATGGGTTAGTTAACTTCTTTCTTCTGACTTTATTGGAGCTAGGCTTAATGCTCACCTAAATTTTTTAATGAGAGAATTATTTTGTGTTTTATCCTTTCAACTAGTTTCCTCCCCCCACCCCGTTGTTACTTGCCATGTCTCTAAATCTTTTGAAATCAGATCATTTGCAATGACAAAAACTAAAATTAAACAAAAGAGCTTTTCAATAATGCTATTTATAACCTGCAGTGAGTTTAATACTAAGTAGTGGGTACCACATTCTCAATAATGGAATAATGATTATATGATCGCTTAAAAAAAAAAAAAAAAGAAGAGCCCACTCTGGTGGTTCAACGGATTAACGCACAGTGCCCTGAAGGTCTCCAAAGCTACTGCAGCATGAGTTCGATCCCCAGCCAGTGAGGTGACCCACATGGCATGGCAGACCTCTCCTGACCCACCCGCTGCTCCCCTCAGCAGTGTGTTTCAGTCAGTCTGCCTGTTCTGCTCTCCACTCTGTCTCTGGTGAATCCTCTCACCCCCCTGCCTGTACCCCAGTTCTTGTATGCTTAAATAAATAAATCTTTTAAAAAGAGAGAGATAATTATTTTATACTCAATAATAATAAAATTACACTAATTTTAGATTTATAAATTAAATTAAATTAACAAAAAATGATTTTTTTTTCTGAATGTTTATAATTTTCTTATAAGTAATCCCTCTAGGAAAAATGTCTGAATAATTAAGCTTAATTTCAGGGTATTACTATTGTTCCTTTTTTAAATTTATTGTTAACAGTTCAAATCTATAAATGTAATTTTTCTTATATGAGAAAAATATTAATTTAAAGAATTGGTTAATGCACTATAAAGTAGATAGCTTGAAGGAACTCTTTCACAATATAATTGTCTGTTTTTAAGCAACCATAGTTAGGCATGGAACAATTACTTATAAATAAAATATAATTTAACACTTTCTTAGTTATACAAAAATAAAAGCATAACATCAATCATTTTTACATATGACATTCTCTGTGATTACACTTTCTTAGTTACACAAAAATAAAAGCATAACATCGATCATTTTTTACATATGACATTCTCTGTGGTTCTGTTGTCAACAGAATTTGCAAAATCTATTCATGTAGTGGGAATTTGTGCTCAATTTTTCATAAAATCATAATAATTACAGTGAAACAAAATAAAAGCCATATTTCAGTAACAAAACTCCTATCCATTTATTTTTGTAAAAAAAAAGAAAAAAAACTCCATTATATTTACAAAACTAATAATGTAATATTAACCATTAGGACATGCTGAAGTAAGGAAATGCAGGAAGGAGTTTCTCTCGTGAGTTTTACCACTTTATTCCTTCCATGTTGATCTTGCATATTTAGTGGAATGATATTTGCTGTAAAAGAAGGATATTTAAATCATTGATATATGGAATATATTGTCACAGTATTTTGGAATGTGGTAGTAAATTAAGGTGCGATTGTAAACAAAAAGAATATTAGAGTTGAGTTTGCTGATTATCTGCAAAATGCTTTTCCAGAGATAAGTGAGGGTGTGAGCATTCATTTCTATGGCAAACTGAGGAACTATTATGTGAGGGATAATCCAGAATCAAACTGAGTCAGCTCATCCAGATCAGCGGGAGCAGATACTGTCTGAAAAAAAAAAAAAATGCTTCCCACTGAATCACAAATATTCTTGCATGAAAAATGTTTCCATTTGGATAGTAGTGATTTGACTTCTTATGATATCTGAAGTGGAAAACAAGAGGATGTGAAGACTCCCATGTTTTGGGAGAGTCAGTCTTGTATCCTTGCTATTGGTCCTATTAAATATTAACAGTTTGAACTAAACCTAAGTCAGGAAGTACATATCTTAAAGATCTTTGAGCATCAATTAATGTTCAAGAATACCATATTCATTTGCACCTTCCAGATATTGCAGATATATGGGAATAGAACTTTACTGTGCCCTCGAGTTTCAAGACCATGTTATAGACATTTAAAACATCATCTATAGGAAAATGTATTAGATGGAGTGTATTATTTTTACCCAGCCCCACATTGAACCTAAGACACTTTTGTGCACCTCCTCTTGCTTATATGATATGTTTTCAAGGATTCTAGTACTTTAAATATCTCTGTGTAATGGGATTGAACAGGAACTAGAAAGCAGAGCCAATACTCACAATGTTGTCCTTGAGGAATAGACAGGATGACGTTATATAATTGTCTCTCCTCTCTCTGGTGTCAGTAACCCAGAATATCCTTTGGGAATATCTGCACTTCTGATGGGCCTATTGAGCAGATTTCTAGTTCTTTAATTTAAATTTTTTGATAACCCAAATCCTCAGATTTATTTGAAACCTTTTTTAAAAGACTCTTCTGACATAAAAGTTTTCTCTTGTTTTTTTTCACAGCGTATTCCATCAGGTGGAGACGGTGAGACATTGAAATTTTTTGGCCAGTCTATCCATGGAGAGATGGATTTAAATGGGGATGGCCTAACGGATGTGACCATAGGGGGCCTTGGTGGTGCTGCCCTCTTCTGGTATGTATTTTAATAACATCCAATATTTCCAATAATATTAAAATATCTCCAGAGCTCAGAGATTGATCAAAGCTCATATTATTATATCAAATATCTACTTCTGTTTGTGATCCATTACTTGGATAAAAATATGCATTTTGGTAATTTTTGAAAGGTCAATAATTCTTAAAAATAAAGGTATCCTTTTAAGCTATAAGTATTATGTATGCTTTTTTCCTGGGGTATGTATTTTATGCTTGGTTCTAAAATAGATATTTTGTTACAGGATAGGTATAGGGGAGAAGACATCTCATAGAGGATGTGTATAAGCAAGAAAGCATACCAAACTCTAATTTGCTTACAAGCTTTTAGGAATAATAGATTGTTTATTTGCCTAATGCATTGAACTAGACAATATGCATTATTTCTGATTTTGCTTATATTGTTAGTTCAGTAAAATCTTTGCTCAGTCTTTAAAATGCCTGAATCCCAAATTAATTTTAGCTAATTGTGAAATGATAGTTAATGGGCAAATATATTCACTTATACCATCTATCTTTAAATAGTTGTAATAATTGTTATTAACAAGTATTAATTTATTATAACTAGTAAAGTGTTAATTAATAGCATTGATAACTTTGGTTTTAACTAGAAAAAGCATTATAATTCCAAAAGGGTGTCTCTGGTGGGGGGGAGGGGAGTGACTAAAATGCCAAGAATAATTTCCATAAGAAATTTGTGCAATAATTTTGGAGACACTACAAATTTCATGATGATACATGAAAGAAAGATTTAATAAAAAAATTGTGTCAGGTATCTTGATGAAAAGTCGATGTTGATCTTTCCAAATTAATGATTGATTTAATGTAAATCACATGGAAACCTATTTCTATGTTTTTTCCCCCAAAACATAACTAGTACACTTTTGTACTAGCATGGTACAGAAAATTGCGAGGTGAAGATAGAGACCTAAAATAGATAACTATCATAATTTAAGATAAAGCTTAAGAACTAATGATCAAATAAAAATATGCTAAACTGTACACAGATATGTACCTTTATGTCAAAAAAAAATTAACTGTGTGCAGTGGAGAAAGAAGAAAACTGAAAGGTAATACCTACCATGGGGGATTGCTGGCCATAGGTGGCTGTGACTTTGGGAGGACCCACCTAAAACCAGAGCTCCAAACCAGGAGTCAGAGGGTAAGAAACAAGACTCCATTCAGTGTTTGTTTAAATACTAAATAATATATGTGCCTGCCACAGTGCTACCTACATGTATGGTTCTTCTCCTTCCTAGGCATAGGGAGAGGATTGAGCCTATTAGAAAAGCAGACAAGGGTCACACCGTGCAGAAACGTTGTCCAGAGACCTCTGGATTTTTCCATATTGGGAGGAAAGTGGAAGATTCCCCAAATAGGGCATTGGTTCTGAAGTTGTGCCTGGGTGCTTGGCTGCATTTCTTTTCTATCATGAGCAAAACAGATCTTTGCCTATAAACTGTTGGAGATGGAGCATAATTTTTCCTCTGCCCTTCTGAATTCTTCTTGGCTGTGTCCCCATAATAAAGGACAGAGTAATGATGGAAAAACAAGCAAGAGTTTATTAATATAAAGTTAAGTCCTCATTTATTTTTTCTTTTAGTCTTCAAACATTATTGCACTTTAACCTTGATAATTTGGCAAAGCATTCACGGAGTAATCTTCAGACAAGTTTTTATAGACAAAGATCACTTCCAACAGACAAAACAGTCCCAAATTCTTGATAGGTAGAATTTCACAAACATTGCCTATTAGCAGTAAAGCTGCTAATAGTATTGCAGCTTCTCCAGGCTGCCTGGTGAGAGCCACCAAGAGTGTGAGGGAACCCATGGCCCTTTCTAGTACCAGCTCTTATAGCCTGCAGCTGTCACCTCCTCCTACCTCCTTCCTGTGCTTTCAGACCATGTCAGTGATGCATGGGGTGTCAGGATTTCTTCTGATAGTCTTACGGAATGAGTGGATGAGAGAACACTCAAAACATCCTTATGTGGAAGCTCACCAATCCAGCAAGAATTCAGGACTTAGAGCCCACCATGGCATCCAGCAACAGACTGGAAGCTTCTAGCAAACTTCAGCTGATTAATACCCAAGAGGGGCAGGCTTGCAATAGGCAGCACCCTTTGGAACTGGATTTTCACAGTCACCATGGTGTGCATGAACCGATATATGACATAACTTTGCTTGGCCTTGTATCCCGGTTTGTACATTTTATCCTGCCGGTAGGGCGGGTGGCTGTTGGAGGCCTGGCAGCTAGGGATACTGCCAGTAGGGCATCCTGAGAAGAAAGCACATCACATAGGGCTGTGTCTTTCTCCACGGCCTCTGGATGTACTTGTGAGCACTGTTTTGGTTTACATAATGGTTGCTGTCTCATGGAAAGAAAAGAGTCGTTTATTCACAGTCCCTTTTTGGTAAGTCCTCAAAGTCACCTTTAGGTTCTTGGAAACTAGGGCTTTAATTGAAACAAAGTATAAGAAAAACCAGGGCCTGGGTCGGTCCTCCCTGTGGCACAATGGCTTAAAGTGCGGCACTACGAAGTTGGCTGCATCTACCTGAACATGAGTTCGATCCTGGGTTAGAGAGCTGACCCACATGGCTCAGCCAGCTTCTGCCTCTCCCACTGCTCCCCTCAGCAGTGTACTTCATCAGTCTGCCTGTTCTGCTCCCCACTCCGTCTCTGGTGAATCCTCTCACTGCCCCTGCACCCTTGGCCTGTACCCCAGATCTGTATGCATAAATAAATAAATCTTTGAAAAAAATAAACCAGGTTCTCCAATGATGTTTCCATCATGGGATACATTCTCTGTTGTATCCACAACTCTCCAGAGAAACTGAGTCCTAGCAGCCCATACTATACTTAAAGAAGACGTCTCTTCTGTGTACTCAGTTGCATTCTAGGAATAATGGCATTTATTAAAAGTCAGAGTGTGTTAGTAATCACTATTGTCAATGTGTTCGTAGGTCCCGAGATGTGGCTGTAGTTAAAGTGACCATGAATTTTGACCCCAAAAAAGTGAATATTCAAAAGAAAAACTGCAGGGTAGAGGGAAAGGAAACAGTTTGCATAAGTGCAAAAGTGTGTTTTGATGTGAAATTAAAGTCCAAAGAAGACACCATTTTTGAAGCTGGTAAGTGTAACATATATACCTAATACTTTGGGATAGGAAGACGGCACACTTGCTCCAGCATTATGAAATCCAGTAAGAAACTAAGGGTTTGCACATCACATTTGCTGTGAATATGCTTAAAGTAAGTTCTAGAGCGAAATGACATGTTTAATGTGATAGCCTCATCATTCCATAGTTCCCTTCTGCCTTTCCCACTTTTTATGAATAAACTGGGGCTTGGAGGGGAGGGAGAAGGAGAAACACACACACACACACACAGAGCAGTTCAGAGGTAGCACCTGGAAACTGAGTGCCAAACAAGCCCTATTTTCCTTGCTGTGGTTTTTCTAAACCCTCTCTCCCAGCTCTGCCCTCCCTGTGGTCAGCCTGCTGCTGCAGAGGACACAAGCCCTGCCGCCCCATCTCCCTGAGATTCCTGTCTCCAGTGAGACCGTGGCCCTGGTGTTTGCATCAGACACATTCTGTGTGTTCTCAGGCACAGCACACATTACTTCTCTCCACACACCACACTCTCTAAGGTCTTTTATAATAGTGTTAAAATATGTTAGAGTCAAAGCGATGAAGTTTATTAATTACAAAAGAGTCATTTGCTTTGCAAGCCAAATATAGGTGGAATGAAAACAAAAATCCTTAAAATTTGTTTTTCTTAGTTTGCTCTATATGTGCATATGTATGCTCCAAAACAGCCTCTGACTAGAGGACAAATGAGGTACAGGAATGTAAAATAACAACTTACATTGTCACAATTTACAAAGTCACATGCAGCATTATTTCAGTCTTATTTAATTTTTATAAGGTAATGAAGTGATTGTGTGAGGATTTGTTGCCTTGTTTTCTTTAAACTTGTTTTCTTTATGTGGTGTGCTTCTTTTATGAAATATTTCTATTTCTATTAAGCTTGTTTTATATGCTTTCAACAATATCTGAAATAACATTTTTCATAAAATAGGCAAACATACCATGAATACGTATTCTCTACTGAAAATGTATATTGTCTATTGAAATCCAGCACAATTATAGTCTGTGCAAGTTTCCAGCATTTCTAAACTAAAACAATATTTTAAGTGACAACCCAATGAACACAGCTATATTCAGGAGATGAGGTAAAATGTAGGGATGCATGTATGTGAGTGAATATATGTACATTATAAAATAAGTGCAAATAAACATTGAAAGTACAGGGAACTCACAAAGTCATCCTGTAGCCTTGCTTCAGGCTATTGTCATGATGGCAATGCCACTGTACTGTTGCAGTCTGAATATTCTGAATGTCAGGATTATTTTGCTGATGGATAACCCAGAATTTTTTCCATAATTTTAATTTAATTAGCTGAGTCAGATGGGTGGAGAAAACAAACATTTCTGCCTTTTATTTATTTATTTATTTTAGATTTGCAGTATCGAGTCACACTGGATTCACTTAGACAGATATCACGAAGTTTCTTCTCTGGAACTCAAGAAAGAAAAATTCAAAGAAACCTCAAAGTTCGGAAATCAGAATGCACTGAGCACTCCTTCTACATGTTGGCAAGTAAATCATATATTACAGCTGACTTACACCAAGAATAAAGTGTAGATACCTTACTGCAGGTCAATTCGGGTCTTACTGTTTTATTTCAAAATGCACAATTGATTTTATGTTTTTGACTGGTATCAGAAAATCACAGGTCTGATATTCTAATTTCAAATACATTTTACAAAACTATCTTTAATCTCACTGTGTGTGTTATCAGCCATCCATATCTTAGGGAAGACTAGAAGGTACTGCATAGTTGGCTCTTCATACATTTATTTATCTCTTTTATTTATTCATTTATTCTTTTAACTAGTGATCATCATCTAAGTTCTTTGGGCCTGAATGTCAAATGTAGACATTAAATGGTTAAATGCCACAGGTCATATGTTTTCTGATGTCTCTTCCTAAGCACTGAACTATATGTTTTACTCCTTGACTTTAAATTGAAAGAGCAAAAAAAAAAAAAATGGTTATTTTCTGTCATCTCAAGGCTTGTTCTACTTGAGTTTCTTTCTACTTTAGTGGGTATAAAAGCTTTGGAAGCAAGCTTTTAATCTCTAGAGAGAAGTGGTAAACCAGGTTGAACTATTTAATATCCTTTGTTGGATCACTGTATGTGTGAGGAGAATATCCAACCAAAGGCAGGGATTACTTAAATGTTTCCTTAAAATGTACATGCCACTAATTTAGAAAAGCAGACAGGATATGATGAGTTAACACTTATGTCAGTAACTGAGATTGAGACTTAAAAACTTGAACATGATGGAAGAGCTTTAAAGAAAACAAGCCAATTTTCCTTCACTTCTGCTTGATTTCTAAATTGGTGGTGTATTCTATATTTTGAAAGTCAAAGAACATGTACACAGTGGTTTACCATTTTTATTCTTCATTAGGAATTTTCAAATTGATATTCCTCCAACATATGTCAAAATAAAATTATTTTATCAATACCAAGATTAATCTATGGTTGGAAACAAAAGCCAAACTGGAGTTATTCCATTTATTTAGTTGTTTGGAACTGAAAATGTAGGAGTTAGAACTCTGTTACAATTTGAAAGGACTTGAAATCAGATGTGACACTGGCTTTTACCAACTAAAAAAATCACTATAGTGTATATTTGCCCAAGACTAATAATCTAGCTATGTCTAGGCACTGGTATTAAAATGAATGAACTAGCTTCCAAATTTCCAAAATTCTTTTGAATTGTAATGTATTCCAGAGCAACCGGGATGGAATTTCTATCTCGACTTCCCCACACTGAGTGATGTTAGTGTCTCAGAATCTCAATCTTCATCCATAAGATAAAGACATCATAGTTGTTCATCTGGAATTTTGTTGAAATAATTCCCAACAATGTGCATACAGCTCATAATTCTGTGCACAGCACAAATGATGGTTGCCACTGGTGATAATAGTAGAAATATTGATCATATCACATCATTTATATATCATTTCACATTATATAAATCTTACAGCTGTAGGCCTATATTGTATTAGTAAAATGAAGCTCAATCTAAAGGAAAGTTGCTTTTCTAAAGTTGAGTTTTCCTAGAAGTGTTATGGAGTGATTTTTATTTAGCTTGAGATCTCAAAAGAAAGACTTTTATAATGCAAGTAGCGTAGAGTGGCTTATCTGGACATGGCAAGGTGCTCACCACTCCAGCTGGCCTCTTTGAGGATCTGAAGAGTCAAACCATCATAATGCAAAGACTCTGCATTGAAGCTGTTTCCCTGTCAAAGCAGATGGTTATTCTTCTCAAGTGAAGCCAAAGGCCATGAGCTCCTAGGTGGCAGATGTCTGAAAATGTTCTAAAAATGTTCTTAAAAACAAGATTTCCCCAACTATTTGTTCCCATAGAAGCAGAAAAAGAGAGGCATAACAAAGTCCAGTAAATATAACACCACTGGCCCTCCCTGGTAGCGCAGCGGGTTAAAGCACAGCACTGAGAATCTGAGGCCGCTTCCGTATGAGTTCGATTCCCGCCTGCCCCGGAGGTGACCACATGGTGTGGCAGACCTCTCCTGGCCCGTCCGCTGGTCCCCTCAGCAGTGTACTTCGTCGATCTGCCTGTTCTGTTCCCCACTCTGTCTCTGGTGAAGCCTCTCACCGCCCCTGAGCCTCTGGCCTGTACCCCAGTTCTGTATGCACAAATAAATAAATCTTTAAAAAACATATATATATATAACACCACTGATATATTTTATGTTTCAATCTCTAGGACAAGCATGACTTCCGAGACTCTGTGAGAATAACTTTGGACTTTAATCTTACTGATCCAGAAAATGGGCCTGTGCTTGATGATGCACTACCAAATTCAATACATGAATATGTAAGTTGGATTCTTTAAAATTCAGAATAGTTATTTGTGAATACATTAGGGAGAAACCTGAAATACATAAACACACACACACACACACTGCCCTAAATCAATTATATTTCTTAAAAACAAGATTTCCCCAACTATTTGTTCCTATTGCTGGAGTTTAAAGGAACTTCTAAAGGATATCTAATTTTATCTCTCCTGAAATTCAGCAATCAATAAAGACATAGGTTGGTCCATTAGAACTCCCTTCTATGACTACTTGGCATTGGGTGGCAGCAGTGTAAGTGTAACGTCCTCACAATGAACCAGACTCAGATGTCAGAGAACCACAGCAGCAATCCCAGACCTCTTCATGGGGATGCAGCAACTAAAACTTAGAGAAGGGAGATGTCGGGAGGCACAGATGCTTCTGGTGGCACCTCACTGCTCCTAGAATAGAATAGAGAGGAAGGGACTGACATGTTTTCAGTCAGTTTCTCCTTCCCAATTCACCAAGTCAACATTTTTAATGCTGAAAAGGAGAGAGTGAGCATGGGATCACAGGCATAGCACCAATGGAGGGAACATCCAGAATGAGGAGTTAGTTTTCCTCATGTACCTCATTTACACTCCCCCTTTCTTTTTTCCAAACATAGTCACTGAGTATCTTCTATAAGCCAGGCAGCAAAGCCTGTAGTCTAATGTAGGAAATGGGGTTAGTAATTAAAGTGCATGCTCTGGAAGATGTCACTGCTGTTTAAGGACTTCTGTCTGGGCTGTGGAGACAGAGATCACTGGCCTAAGGTAGTGACATGTAGTTGAGACCTGAAGCATACGATAAGTCTCCATTATATTTAGAGAAGTAGAGGGAGCAATGTTTCAGGCAGAGGGATATGTGTCAGATTTCTGAGGGATAAATGGGATTAAACTAAATGCACCAAGTGCCTGACGTAAATAACAAGGTGAGAAGGTGAGGTGGGATGAGGTGGGCAATGCTGGCAGGCGCAGGTTCTTCCCAAGATTGTGTGTAGCTGCACAGATTTAAAACTGTTTTGAAGAACAGTCAATTACTACTGAAGGCTTTCACTGGGTCCTATGATAGGGCCAGCTAAATCATATTTAAGTTTTACTTTAGTTGCAATGTGGAGGATGATTGGAGGGAAACACAAGTGGTTCTGGACACGTTAGGAAGCTATTATCTTAGTTCAGAGAAAGCCTGGCAAGCTAGGCTAGAGAGTGGGGCAGAAATGGAACCGAGAGAAGAGATTCAGGAGATATTTAGAAGAGGGGTAGAATGGGCAATTTTTGGTGGTGGATTTTATCAGAGGGAGGGACATAATGAAAAAGAGGCTTCAAGGAAACCCAGTTATGTGACTTAACCATGTTTTACCCTCTTGATGGAGCTCTATTATATTCCTAAGTCTTTGATTATTTTTGATAGACAAATCTGAGTTGAAGTTAATTGTTAAATGGTCTTCCATAGATTTAGGCCTTAGAGTACTTGACTGGAATTTTTTGAAACTCTTCTACTTTAGAAGACTAAAACCAGTGAAAAACATCTGTGAAAACTGCATTCCTTAAAGGACTGGAAGAATTTATATCCAAAAATAACACTTTATTTTTTCCTTTATAAATTATAGGAACAAATACAAAATTCCTCTTGATCTCAGCAATGAAAGCTGTTGTCTCTGAGATACTTATTTTGGCTATTTCACTTCTTTTATTGAAAACAATAGGTAATTTTTAATGGTGCCTAACTAAATTTGGTAAAATGCTTTTCTGTGACCATTGCAGATTCCCTTCGCCAAAGACTGTGGAAACAAGGACAAGTGTATTTCAGACCTCTTCCTGGATGTGTCTACCACGGAAAAGAACTTGCTAATAGTCAAGTCCCACAACGAAAAGTTCAATGTTAGCATCACTGTCAAAAATAGAAAGGACAGTGCCTATAACACCAGAACCATAGTGCATTACTCTCCAAATCTAATTTTTTCAGGAATTGAGGTACATTTTTAGGTTTTCATTTACTAATTCTCATATTTTGTTTAACCTACTTTTTATACTACTGAGAAATTCATCTGCATACGTTTATATGAATTAATAAAATATCATTCATATTAAAAATTAATATACTGATAAGGAATAATATTAGAATTATTGTCAAGCTTCTATAAATTCATATTTTCACTGACATTTCTCTCCACATATTTGGCTCTCACTTAAGGATAGAATGACTACAAAAGACTTGAAAAACATGTCCTATATCAGCATCACATATTTCAGATTCAGTTAAGAATGTTAATTACAGATCCAGATGCACACAGTGATGTTGGGAAAATATTTACCACTGAATTTTCTCTGGAAAGAGGTCTATGCCATAGCCCTTTATAGTCCAACTCTAAAATCACTGCCTGTATCCTTTCAGCTGATTTCATAGCCTTTACAAAGAGGCAGAACTATAAAATCAATAATGCATCTTCTCTACTGTTATAAACAGCAACAGTAATGATGGCACTCTTTCTTGAGTCATTTTATGTGCCAGGCACATCAAAGGACTCTACTTATTTATCTTTTCACTTCATTAATTATTTTCTAAGTAGGCTACAGAGATTCTAAGATAAACCCTTTCACATTTTAACATCTCTGTAGCTGCATTTTATAAATGATATCTTAACTGGCAACATTATTTTTTCCCTTTACTCACTTATAAATAGAGAATACTACTCCCAATATTTATTTCAACTTATTGGTATGCAAAATAGCAGTGAGTCTCACTTGAAATGGCATTTTTTTTTTATTTGATGAAATGGAGTCTGACTAACTCCTCTAAAGAGAGCATCAGGCCCAGAATGGATAGGTTGACAGTGGATTGAAGCTCAGGATTCAAATCTCAGTGTCCTGGATGAAGTCTGTACTACGACCTGCTCTGCTAAACTCCTCAATGACTCCCACTCACTGTGGGCATCCATGGGCAGTCCTGATCATGTGATTCTTTTTTTTGAGCCACCAAATCATATTATGAAGAGGTGCTATTCATATCCCCGTGTGTCAGTGGAAGACCCAGACCGAAGAGTGCCATGTGCTTTGTCCTCAGTCACCTTCAACTAAATGATGTTTCCAGATTTCAATGGACTGTGGGTGATCCCCAAATGTTGTGACTCTTGCAATTTTTTTGAGAGACAAATCTTAGTAAGGCAGAGTTCAATGCACAGCTGGGAAAATTCTAGAAGACCAAGATCAAGTATTTGACCCACATGTCTTCTGTTCTAATTCTGTTTACTTTCTCTTCCTAGGATATTCAAAAGGACAGCTGTGAATCCAATCATAATATTACATGTAAAGTTGGGTATCCTTTCCTGAGAAGCGGAGAATCGGTAAGCAGGTTGTACAAAGTAGATGTGTAGTCAAGTGTGAAAAGTGATATGCTCAAAATCAAATGTAAATCCTTCAAGTGGTAATTTTGCTTGATATAGATGAATAAGGTTGATTTTAAAAATTTGAATCCTTGGAACCAAAACCCAATTATTGCATGAGTGAAATGCAAATAACAAGATAAAATTAAAAGTCTTATTTAATAGACTGGAAATGAAGAATTCTGATATTAGAGTTTTCTATCTAGTAAGCTTTGCTGGATTATGGGGAAAAGAATCTTTCAAATAGATTGGTTCAGGACTTCATATAGAAAATTACTGCCTTTCTACACTTAAAAAATAATATCCTCATGAGATATAATTCACATTCCATAAAATTCATAAAGAGCACAATCTAATGGGTTTTCATATATTTACCAAATTGTGAATTGTACAATCATTATCAATTTTAGGTTATTTTCACACACACACACACACACAAAATCCCATATACCTCACCAATTGCTTATCTTTTCCCCTAAACAGTTCCTTTACTAATCCTAGATAACTATTCATCTACTTTATTTCTCTATGTTGTCTATTTTGGAAATTGCATATAAGTGGAATTATACTACATGTAGTCTTTTGTGACTGGCTTCATTAAGAATGCCATTTTCAAGGTTTTCCCATACATAAGTAGTTCATTCCTTTTAATTTTAATTTCAATTTCAAATAACATTCAATTGTGTATATAGATCATATTTTACTTATCCACTCATCAGTTAATAGGCATGTGATGGTTGATGGTTATTTCCACTTTTTGGCTACAATGAATAATATTTGCATACAAGTTTTATTGTGGACATGGTCAGTTCTCTTAAGTATAAACCTAGGTGTTTATTGCTCAATTATTTCTTTAGAGAGATGCCTATTCATATCTTTAATCTACTTTTATTATTGAGTTGTAAGAACCCTTTAATTATTCAACAGTCAAGTCATTTATCAGATATATGACTTGCAATTATTTTCTCCCAGTCTATAAGTTGTCTTTTCACTTGATTCTTGGTTTCCTACAACAAAGTTTTTACTTTGTTGAAGTGCAGTTTATATATTGGGTTTTGTTTTTGTTTTTGTTTGTTTTTTTTTTTGGTTACTCATGCTTTTGTTTTCATATTTACAAAGGCTTTCTCTAATCCAAGGTCACAAAGATTTACTCCTATGGTTTCTTCCAAGAGTTTTATGGTTTTGACTCTTACATTTAGATCTGTTATCCACTTTGGTGTATAATATGAAGAACCTAGCTTCATTCTTTGTGAATATCCAGTTGTCTCATCTTATCTGTAAAGACAGTTCATACCCCCATTCTTTGTCATGACACTCTTAAAAGAATACTGAAAATATATGGTATAATCATGCAAATCTCATGACCAAGGAATTCTAGTCACCCTTCTGTAAATAGTGCTAAATTGTATGGATGGTTGCTGATACTTAAAGTTTCCATGTTAATTTTAATTTTGGTTTTGATTTTGACCACTTAGTGATTGCATTGTTTATGATTATGATCTTGTAAATCTTGATAATAAAATAATAGAATGTACCTTCATGGGGCCTAGTACTGGCTTATGATTGATATATGATTTTATTAATATAATTTGAATAAAGTACTGACAGTCAATCTTAGTGTACAAGGGATACCACATACATTTAAAAGCACATGGAAAGCATCTTATTCTATTTCTAAGCTGTGATGAGAATTTTTATATTTCTTAAACAGATAATTTGAGTATACATAATATCACTTATGTAAATGAATGTATAATCAAAGAAAAACATTTTGTCTGTTACTAAACCAAAAATATGTCCTTTTTTCAACAGGTAACTTTCAAAATATTATTTCAATTTAATTCATCTCATCTCATGGAAAAAGTGATGATTCATTTAAATGCAACAAGGTTGGTTTATATGTGTGGATTAGAATATGTGCATGAGTGTATATAATTTTCTTTCATGCGTTTAGAATATTTTGCTTCATAGAATCACAAGGAGTGGCTCACAGTTTATTTAGTACCAGTAGAATTCGAAGGTAATGAACCACTTTACCTCCCAAAACATCCTTAAGAGCAATTAACAAAATAAATGATCATTTAATAGAAGTCATACATCTAACCACTGGTTCTATGAACTGTAGAACATGTAATTACACATCACTTTATATGCCAAAGTTCATTTAAACTTATTTAAAATTTTATAGCCTCAATAATCCAAAAGCTTTTACTGGTTTATTTATTGATTGGCAGATCAATGTCAACTGAATCATGAGATTAACTTAAAATTTTATGATACCCATTTGTAGTTTAGTAAATGTTCCAAATCACCCAAAGCTTCTGAAACAGAACATAGAAGTAGACTAAAAATTGCTCAAGACTAAGGAAATTGAAGTAGTGGCTTACCATTCTTTTAAGTGTCTTTACTTACAAGTCATAATCTCCCTGAGATAAAGTTCGATTTTTGTTGCTTTATTCTCCAGTGATACCATAATTATCCAATAATTACTATAGTAACTGACACCTAATAATTACTAAATAAACATAAAGTTAATGAATAAATAAGAAAATGAGTTAGTGGACAGGTTAATTCTATATGGTCATTCCAATTCTACTTAACATTTATTTGACCCCTATGGACAAGATATTGAATCAGTTACTATAGGAATGTAAAACTTAAATGGCATGACCCTCTTCATGGGGTAAATATTATAGTAGGAGGCTGAGGCTAGTATACAATTATGGTACCACACGTAGAATAAGGAAAAGTCATTACAGAAATAGAAACCACATGTAAGAGACTTAATGGAGGGTGAAATTACATCTCTTTGACAGTGTGAATGTCAGAAAGTTTATCAGCAAGATTATAATTGGGTCAAACCTTAAAGAAAGGATAACAATTCCCAGACAGAGAGGTGTATGGATTGCACTGGTGTGACTTTAACTTTTGCTACACTTCTAAATCAACCCAGAGACTTTTAAAAACACGCATCCCTGACCTCCCTTCCCAATCTTAATAAAATATTAAGAATTCTACTGTTTTGTCCCTTTGTATTTAGTTGCCAAAATAAACTTCTCTTTCAAATTCCAGAAATGTCTATAAAAAATGTGCCTTGTCTGAGTATACCGTTATTTCAATTCCAGTGACAGCGAAGAACCTCCAGAAACCCTTTTTGATAATGAAGTAAACATTACTATCCCAGTAAAATATGAAGTTGGACTACAGTTTTACAGGTAGGAGGAAATAGTGTTTTAAGTTGATGCTTTTCTTAACCTGTGACTCTCAAAGTGTTTCCCTGGTCAAGGGCATCAGAATCAACTGGGAGCTTATGAGAGGGGTAAACACTCAGATCCCTCAGCCAGAGCCCAGACATCTGTGCTAAATAAGCCCTGCAGGCAACTATCATGCATGCTGAGTTTGAGGACCAGCACACTAAGTAACCTAAAATGTGAGCTTCAAATGGTACTGGGTTGTGTTAGTTGTCCTGTCTCAGCATTCAAGAGCAAGTGGAAACCTAGGCATCTGTCCCAAAAGGTCATGTCTCAGGGGTCACCAGCACATCATGGGCGTCACTGTCATGCTGAGAGTTATTATCAGATACCCATTCAGGATATCTAAGATCAGATTATTTCTTGTTGATAAGTGCTATTTAATTTCTTTTTTGTTTTGCTTTTTAATTTTTTTCTATTTTTACCTTTTTACACCATAAACACATTTTTTTACATCATTTTTCATTTTGTGCATTTTTCCAGCTCAGTTGCAATCCCCATGGGCCTCCCATCTCCAATTCACCCATGTGCCATCACTATAGTCCAGGATAAGCACTATTAATTTCTTCTATCAGTCATAGACTGTTTTCCTAGGAAGTTCTCATCTGTGCACACACCAATCGTGTTCACCAACTTTCCCACTATAAATTCCCTGGCTTGAGCAGCTCTCTAATTTTTTCTAAATACACAAAATGTATACAAATAATATTTAAGCATCAGCAGAAAATTTATTCTAAAAGTCTTCTCATTTTCTTAATTTATCTTCTTTAGCACTTTCATTTTGTTGATAACAGACCACAAAAATAAGAGAATTATAGGCTATGCATGTAGATTTTTTACAAATATTATTTAGCACTTAAATTTATTGGCTGTTTTCTATTCAGCTACATCTCCTTTTCTTGGTACACTAACTTTGTCTAAGAATTCTCCATTTACTCAAAATCCATATTTGAAATTGAAATGCAGCTTCAAATATGTTTATATTATATTTCATTCTACAAAGTTCATCCAAAGAGAAAATAAAAATTTTAAGTTTAGGCCCTCCCTGGTGGCGCAGCGGGTTATAAAGCACAGCACTGAGAAGCTAAAACCACTTCCACATGAGTTCGATTCCCGCCTGGAGGTGACCACATGGCGTGGCAGACCTCTCCTGACCCGCCCACTGCTCCCCTCAGCAGTGTACTTCGTCCATCTGCTATTCTGCTCCCCACTCTGTCTCTGGTGAAGCCTCTCACCGCCCCTGAGCCTCTGGCCTGTACCCCAGCTCTGTATGCACAAATAAATAAATCTTTAAAAAAAATGACTTAAAAAAATTTTTAATTTAGCAAAATTATAGCACTTTAAATAGTGAAAAGGTAATAATTTTTATAAGCCATTTAAAATTCATCATTTCTAGAAATACCAAGTTAGCCTGATTATTCCCTGAATATAAGCAACATTTGTGAATTTGGGAATTTTTTCATTGGCAAAATTTGTATTTTAATTTAAAAATTACACCTTTTTCATCTTAAGGCAATATAAATATTAGTGGCTAAATTATATATACCTTCTCCCTTGTCTCAAAGATTGAATTTCAGTTTCACGGTAAAAGAATTCATCTCTGATTTGAAACTTTCATAGGATTACCTAGTATAAAGAAAGAAAAAGTATGAAGTTAAATAAAAATGAAACTTTGTTATGTGTTATTTCCCTGCCTATTAATTCTTTAAGCTCTGCAAGTGAATACCATATTTCTATTGCTGCCAATGAGACAGTCCCTGAAATGATTAATTCTACTGAGGACATTGGAGATGAAATTAACATCTTCTACTTGGTAAGAAATCACCTGTAAATTAGTGTTATAAATGATTATGTGTAAGTGTATACATTTTTTAAAAGTATTAATAGATACATGAACATGAATAGAACATGTTGATGCATAAGTTATTCCCTATATTTCAGCATACTTTTATTATTTCATTATTTTTTAAAATTTTATTTAAACTGGTAATTATACTTTGAAGCTATTTTCAAGCCTTAACTCTTTAATTTCCTCCAGTAAGACACAGTTCATGAAAACAATTTCCTAGATAAAATTAACTATGGAACTAAATAGATACTACCTATAAATGTGTATACTTTGTTTCACTTCTCAGTATTACTGAGAAGAGAAGTTAACTAAAAAAAAATAATTATGACTATTTCAAATTGTCGTGGTAATATTTTCCTTTACTTGATGAATATATATCTGATTCTGATTATTGCTACCTGTCTTATGTATTGTACTATAACTTATATTCCTATTACCACTTTCTTAAGTTGTATTCTTATTACAAGATTTATATTTATTTTTGAGTCTTTCTTAATGAATTTTTCATTATCATGATACAGAAACCATGAAGCTGAGCCAGACTTTTATTTGAAGTAATTCCTACTCATGAACATTGACTGAACTTACTGTCACTATAGTAAAGGACAGCCCAGTTCAAATGTTTGATTTAAATATGTATTAAAAAATTATGAAATCATGAAACATTATTATAGGTGAAGTGGTGTTTATCCCTTTGGGTATGATGACAAAGACAGTTTTACAAAAGAAGATAATGTATATTCCAAAGTGCTTTTCATGGATTTCATTTGTGCTTTTTGCTGAAATTCTTGGTTCACAATTTAACTATTAATTAAAAGTCAAAATATTGCATAACACAGAAAGGCTACTGTTGAAAGAAAAAAAAAGTTGCAACTCTTTCTTTTTTTTTGGCTCACAGATTACAAAAAGTGGACAGTTTCCAATGCCAGAGTTTAAGCTATCGATTTCATTCCCCAACTTGACTTCTGATAGCTATCCTGTCCTGTACCCAACTGGATGGTCATCTTCTGATGTAAGTCATGTGTGCCAAGGAATTATGGCACTACTATTACCTTTTCCAGTTTTTTTTTAAACATTTTTATGCATGCCACTTGTTTTGATGAAGTGTTTTACCAAAATAAAGTGAAGAGTCATTTACAAAGCTACAAAAAATATTAAGCCCCACTGGGTATTTAACTGATGCATTATTTGACTACAATTGCTGTGGTAACAAACTACCCCAGACTGGGTGGCTGAAAACAAGAGAAATGATGCTCTTACAATTCTGGAGGTCTGAAGCCCAAATAATGTGCTGAGAGTGTTGGTGCCCTCTAGAGGCTGAGAGGTAGAATCTATCACTACAACTCTCCTTTCTTCTGGTGGCAGCTGTCAATCTAGCTTGTAGTCTTATCTCTGCTCTCTTCACAAGACTTTTTTCCTTGGGTCTCCCTTTCTATTTTCTACAAGCACACTCATCGGAGTATTTTAAGCCCACTCTAAACCCAAAGTGATCTCACCTGGACATCCTTAATTTAATTGCATCTTTAATGGTCACATTCACATGTTCTAAGTGTTAAGACCTGGGGAGGTCATTGGGCATTACTGTTCAATCTATGGGTGTGAATTTCAGATCACTGTTGACTTATTCCTTTAATGTTTACTACAACATTAACTTGATGAGATGAGAGATGAATAAACAACTCTGCAAAGAAATTTCTTAATTACTCCTAAGCACACACAGCTGTACCTCAAACAGTATATCTAATCTAATCTAATCTAATCTAATCTAATCTAATCTAATGTTGCTGAGATTTTAAGTGAAATGATACAACAAAAATAGGCCCTGAAATAACATTGCTGTAAACTGGGATATTTTTCTCATCAATGTTATAACTAAATAACATTGAAGTACATATTGTTTATGATCTGCTGTACCGTCACTTATCCCAAAAATAGCACACTGACAACATTGAATGAACCTATATGGCACTCATTTATTATGATTCAGTCCCTAAAACATTGAAGATTACAATAAATGTTGATTTATTGTTATTTCAGAATTTGGTTTCATGAATTCGACAACCTGTCTTCAGATATTTTCTTCAAGGTATTTCAGAAACCAAGAAATATCAACAGTGATAGTTGACTTGTGATACTTAATAATTTTATAAAAATGCAGGTCTTTGAGAATCTGTACTTTTCCCACAGCTCCTTACTAACCGTTATTCTCGAGACCTTTTATCAAGGATATAAAGAATCCAGGGTGGGGAAATTTTAAGTGGGGAAATTTATTAGATTAAATTTAGAAAAACAATACAAGAACCAGCTACCAATATGGCATTTTAGAATCTATAGGACTACTTATGTTTTCCTTGATACAGACCAAATGTCATACCCTTGATGTGAAGAGACCCCGAAAATATTAATGGATGAAGCATAAGTGCAGATAAAAGATCCTCTTTTTTATCATTTCATAATCCATTCAGATGTGTTACATTGAATAACAAATGCTAACTCTTCTTTTTCCTCAGTAAGACTTTCACTTTCTTTTTTTTTTGGCATTATGAGAATTTACAAATTAATATTTGATGAAAACAATAAATTAATGAATGTATTATTTCTATGACAATAAGTCCAACTAGCATCCTTTCTTTCTGTAACCGCCTTACCACTATATATTACAAGTGGCATGCTAACAGTAATGGCAGTTTGGAATGGGTATATCTGGTGCAATAGTTTTCTCTGTATTGCACACCTAAAGAGATGGATACCCATATAGAAAAGTGATGGTAATACCCAGAGTCTTCATGTCACTGTCCCCTCTGACATTCTGATGAAATATTTTCACTTTCTAGAATACAAACTGCAGACCCAAAAGCCTTCAGGATCCTTTTGGTATCAACTCTGGGAAGGAAAGTCCTAAACCTAAATATGAAGTTCTCAAGAGAGGCACAATTCGGGTAAGCTCAGATAAACAAGGCAAATACTAATATTGCTTTCCAAGTGCATTAATTCAATACTGACTTAAAAATAACTATCTTAAATATTTCAATATAGTTTTTCATATCAAATGTCAAGCCTACTAATGTATAACTCTGGACATTTAAACAGGACTGTAGGACATGCAAAGTTGCTACCATCACATGTAATCTGCTTCCTTCTGACATGAGCCAAGTGAATGTTTCATTTATTTTATGGAAACCAACTTTTATAAAAGTAAGTGGTTATATTCCTCTTTACAATTATTAAATTGTACTGACAAATACTTGTTCATGACTTAATATATATAAAGCAGAGTGCTTCTGCAGAAAGAACATAAACCCTCTAAAAACTTTGGAATGAGCCCAAGTTCTACTCAACCAACTTCTGGGTCTGTTAGTAAGGTATCTTCAAGTTTCTCTTCCACACATACGCCATTTTTCAGTCTCTCATATCCTTTTTCTTTGTACCTCAAATAAGTAATTACTCTACAGTACCAAAGTTTACACTTATATTACTATTTGGGAACTTGGTTAAGGCAAAGAACTACAGGATGGTAATCCTTGATACTGTGAAAAAAAGACAGAGCTAACAGACTATGGACTCACTGTGTTAGAGAAGACTTTATAAAAATTTTGGAGGGTATCTTTTAACTTCTAATAATATCAAATCCACCTGACAACAAAGTGCTTCTACTATATTTTTGTATCATTTGTTTCTGTCCTTAGGAAATACTTGGGTAATTACATAAAATTTCTATTTTCAACTTTATTCATAAAATTGCTATTTTTGCAAATCACCGATTGTCTACTATTGGCAACATCATGTTTTATCCTAAACAAAATCCTCTATAAGCCTCATTACCACAAGATAGCTATTTCATACTGGCTAGATGACAGGTAGACAAAGTTTTGAGGTTTGTTTTTGCTAAGGATAAATATGAGTAGAAGTTGCCTAGAAAATTTTTCCATTCTATAACAAGGACTGAAATAAGAACTTGAGTACAGAGGCAAGTGGGTACACACCCTTTATTTGATACCTCCTGTTCCACATGGATGTTAACAAAATCAACCTTTTTAATCGCTCAGAACAATCTTAGTTTTAAAAAATCATACTAGTCAAACATAACTGGCTTTCACTATGATTAGCATAATATATTGAAATTAAATCCTATTTTATTTTCAGGCACATTTTTCCAGTTTAAATCTTACCATAAGAGCAGAACTCCAGAGTGAAAATACATCATTAGTTCTAAGTACTGGCAATCAAAAAAGAGAGGTAAGTGCAACTCGAAGTTTTGAAAACATTAGATATTTCACCTGGAATTTTGTGACATGATGTTTTATAATTGCTGATCCTCCCAGAAGCTGTGCCAATCTCTGTAAGTGGCAAACACTTTTTGCTTCAAATTATACTTGATTAGCTGCAAGTGTAATTTCAGTCTTGTTCATCCTTGTAAGAAACTTGGAAAAATCATGATATTTACAATTAATGTGCCATGTTTGACTTTATTACTTCTATTTTCACAGTAAATAGATGTTTCACTTTAGCCTTAATAGCAATGATGCATTTGCAATTTTCCCCCTTAAAAAGTGACATTATAAAAAAGCAGTTGACATGTGAAGAGCAGTCTAGAGAAACAATTCCTTCACAAAAAGTGTCTTGTGCACTGAACAGAAATACATCTACATATCTATATGTAAATATATAGTATATGGGTTTCTTCACTTAGTCATTGGGAGGTTGGAAACAAAATTGAAGTGTCATTCCCTATTACAAGTTTATGCTGACTCTTCAATAAAAATAGTGTTTTCTTCTTGGCATTTTGTAAAATCAGGACACAAAACACATCATAGTTTATTGGTACTTCAACCTCTTCTTTGGGAAGAGTTTAAATAGCCCAGGAGACTATTATGAGTCAGAAAGTTCTATTTGGAAGCTACCTAATATTTAGGTATCATTTTAGAATTTCTTACTTCAAAACTGTTTAATTGAAAATTATTCCAGTGTCATTTGCCTCTAATTATATTTACCTTGGCTTTTTTCACCTTTAAAAAATATATGCATATAATACACATAGTATGTGAAAAATATATGCATATGGTATTTATTTACTTTATACAGAGCACTTCCCAATAAATACAGATGTTCCATACACAGAAAAAACAAAATTACACCAGAGATCACCATAAAAATATGCTTAAAAATAGTATATTTGATTCCTATGTATGTTGCATTAAAAATTTATAAGTAGATTTATTTGTCCTAAACATTAGTTCCCCATGATACTATTTATTCTATATATTTTTTTTATTTACACAGAACTGGGGTACAGGCCAGAGATGCGGAGGGTGAGAGGATTCACCAGGGACAGAGTGGGGAGCAGAACAGGCAGATCGACGAAGAACACTGCTGAGGGGAGCAGCGGGCAGGTCAGGAGAGGTCTGCCGCGCCATGTGGTCACCTCCGGGGCAGGCGGGAATCGAACTCATGAGGAAGTGGCTTTAGCTTCTCAGTGCAGTGCTTTAACCCGCTGCGCCACCAGGGAGGGCCTTATTCTATATTTTTAATCCCAAAAGAAAAAGTGTATCTCTAAATTATTAAAATTGCTAAAAGTAACCATTTTCTAATGATACAATCTCAGAGAAGCCACTGATCCAATCAGACCAGTTTCTGTACCTGCTGGTTCAGAAAATTGTTTCAGATGTGTTGAAAATCTGTCTTGAAAGTTCTTTTTCTGCATGTATCTACAGTACTGCTGTATAGATCTGTTTTCACTGTGTATCAGCAGGGACCTGCCTGGAGTGATCTAAAGTGCTGGATCAGTATCTCTATATGCAAATGTCTACTCCCTTTACCTCCTGTTTTACTATTGTTCACCCCAGGTTAAGTTTTTGTGATGATCCCTGTAAAAGCAAATGTCTTTGACCTTTACCCTGAACCTATTTTCTTCTCAGAAATTCAAGGGATGGGACACATACAAGGGAAGTCTGGGCACTCCTACTGGGAGAACTTCAGTAATTGGAATACTAAAAGCTAATATACAGATGTCAACCATAATGTGGCACAACTGAAAGTTATGCAACTCATAAACCTGTATAACCATGATAAATACCCATTTTAAAGAAGTTTATTACAGTCAAAAACTGCTTGATAGTTACTGACCCAGGAGCAAGTCAACTTGAAAAACCAGACAGGATAGTCTAATGAAGAGCACTTGTTGTGAATATATGCACAGGTCCACTTATCTGTGTGCTCGGGATCTGAACATTTTACTGTATAAAAATGTCATTTCAATTGTTGGACAACAACAGAAAAGTATATTACAATTAGAATAAGACAATATACTTGGATTTTCCTATGTCGATAGCCTATGGCTGTTCCAGCCTAAACTCATGCTATGGTGATAAGGCACTTTCACCAAATAATAAATCTTTAAAACATATAATACTTTTGCTGCTTCTTTCTGAGTTAAATTCACTCCTACCCTTCAGTATTCCTATTCATAGACTCTTATTCCTATGCTCTTTATGTATAAATTTTGGAAGGATAGATGATAAATAATTCTGGTAATAATAAATTGGAAATGGCCTTCCCTGATAATGCAGCAGGTTAAAGCACAGCATTAAGAAGCTAAAGCCACTTCAGCATGAGTTCGATCCCCACCACAGTGATGATCCTCATGGCATGGCAGACCTCTCCTGACCTACCCGCTGCTCCCCCCCTCAGCAGTGTACTTTGTCATTCTGCCTGTTCTGCTCCCCACTCTGTCTCTGGTGAATCCTCTCACCACCCCTGCACCTCTGACCTGTACCCTAGTTCTGTATGCATAAATAAATAAATTTTTAAATAATAATAATAATAAATTGGAAATGGTTAAAGATTAGAATATTTGAAGGATATCTTAAGATACAAACTTAGTGATTTCTCTGTATGTAATAATGAGAGTGAATACACTGATAAAATTATGGCCTATAAGAACTGAATATACTGGTAGTTCTAATAGATGTTTTATCGATGTTTATCAATCTTGTTTAATAATTTTCAGCTTGCTATTCAAATATCCAAAGATGGGCTACCAGGCCGAGTGCCATTATGGGTCATCCTGTTGAGTGCTTTTGCTGGCTTGTTGCTGTTAATGCTACTCATATTAGCTCTGTGGAAGGTAAGTACCAAAGTTTCTGTGACTTTCTATTTCAATTATAAAATAAAATTGTTGAAATAGATTATGATTTATCTATGCTGAGAAATACAGTATCATAAATATTGAAATTGTGACAGACAAAAAATACAGCTCTCAAATATTGTACAGTTTGATCCATTTTTGTAAAATAAAAATAGACTCTCGTAGAGGCTCGAATATTGGGGACATTTACATGTATATAACATTGGAAATTTTTAATTAAATATACATGATTGATATGGGCCAAGAACAATGAACTCTCTTTTATGGAAAAAGTAAAGAATGGATTTGCCATTTGAAGAACACATAAATGCTAGATTCACATTGGATTGAGACCCTTTCTAATCATTGACTTCTGTATATCTTACAAATCAAATGCTTCTTTAACTATGTCACATTTTAAATAATTGATGTGTGCCCAGATGAGAGATTTACATTTAGTAAATGTTTTGCTTAAACTCAAGTGAAAGATTTTTCAAATTCTTAACTGTATAATTTTCAAATTAAGCAGAAGTAAGATGAAGCATTTAAAGTAAATTATGAAGAACAAAACCTATAGAAAAGTTTAATTTAATGTTTTCCCAACTAAACATCAGGCTGACATTTATTCTAGCAAATATCATCCTATTTTTCACCCACATTTGTTAAATTATGTTTTAACTAAATTACTCATTTTTGTAATATCCAAACAACAAAGTTGTTATTCAATCAAATTGTTTAATTAGTTCCTCCCCCACTGAATTATCAAGTGTTCCTGTTTGTTCTGAATCTCCTATAATAATTAACCTCCTCTATTGAGGATTACTCTCAGAGGTGATGAACTAAACTATGTGAAAGCTGTAGGACAGTAGCATTTAGATTAGTAAATAGAATCCAGAGTTATCCTCCAGCAATATTCCCAAGACAAGCTTCTCCACCCCCTCCAAACCTCCAGCTGCTCCTCTTTCTTTACAGGGGATCAGTGCCCTCTCTGTAATACTGAGCTTTACCACACTGTGGTACCCAAGGCCTGGTTGAACGGTGTCTAGGGTGTGTATAGCATAGAAAGGAAGCTTGATTTCTCTCAGGATAATCTTCTCTTCTGAGTACACTGCTTCTCCATATAGGGTAGGAAACTACTGACAAGAGTTACATTCTCCCTAGCCTCATACCTCTGTTTAAAACAAATGAGTTTCATCAGTCTGTTTTCAGTCACCCATCTGAAAAAAGACAGATGTAAAAATAAACATATTCTTCCATCCAATAAATGTCTTACTGATATAATCTGATGACCTCTTCTGTTTAGACTCCAAGGAATGTTTTTTAACAATCTTTGGACTGTCCTGACCCATAGGTATAGTTAGTTATCTCTTCAGTGGAAGGACTGGCAATCGGAATTGGGGTTCTTATTGACTGCTTCCCATGTGCCAGAAACTGTTTTCAGCTTTCCACTTGAATAATAACATCAACCATATGAAGTGGATAGCATGATAACCTATTTTTGTGCATATGGAAACTCAGAAATAAAAAGTTAAATAGGTTTTCCAAGACCTCCTGGATTGTCAGTTTGAGGGGTTAACCCCTTCACTCTGTTCTCACTAGCTTTATTCAGTTTTAGCATTATAGACTTTTCAATTAGTTTAATTACATCTTATACTTAAAGACACTGAATCAAAGAGAATATAAATAACCCTGCCAAAATTACTAACCAGTAAGCTGTAAACAATGGCCTTTCTACAAATCCATCACTTTCCCAGTATACCCCAAAGCTACAAGCTATGGGGCAGGGCTCTTTACTCTGGAGCTCCAGGAATTGTTCTTTGTTCAAGAGGGTCATGAACTCTTACATGAATGGAAGTATTTGGTTTTGAAATAAAAGGCTCTGGTTGGATGCAGACTTTCAGCAATTCCATTCCATCAAAGATTCATTGCCCCTTCTCCTGCTTTAAAGCCATTTGGAACCTCCCTGACGCTAGAGGGCCACTCTCAGCCACAGACATCACTTTATACTAATTAAATCTATAATAGACGTCTCAGGGCATTTCCCATCTTCCTCCTAATTCCCACAATTCTGGAAATCTATTGGACTCCCAGTTTGAAACTCTGTTCAGGAAACAGGCCAAAAGATGTCTAGTGGAACGAGATTCCATTTCAAAGGACACTTTCTTTGTATCTTTATCTTGTAGTATACATCATAGAGGTTAAAGCTTGACAAAAATCACAGTAGCTCCTTATTACACTTGGTCTTGAAGGGAGACATCGTGCAAGAGACACAGTTTCAATAGATTGAAAAATATTTCCTGAAATATGATATCACACATTGAGGTAGAAACCCAGACAGACCACGATGACCAATAGAACAGAATGAAACCCACACACAGAGGGATGCGGAGAGCAAAACTTTCCTCCCTCACAGTGGGACCTCGTACTGATGCCTGAAGTCCTGTGCTTGATTTTTTTATTAATTCTAAAATTAAAATTTAGAATTAAATATTCTAAAAACTTGCTTTTCACCCAACATGTGTATCTTGGAGGGGAACAATGATATGGATGGATAGCAGTGCCATTTTTAGTCTTTTATACTTTAGGATGAATTTATTCATTCAACATTTATTCCATATTATAGTCATTAGGTGCATTTTCCACCAGGGAATGTTTAATGAAGTCCTTGGCCATCCTCTGCCAAGATCCTTTGGTTTTGGGTTAAGGGAACATAAAGAGCATCACTAAGCAAATATGGAAAGAAAAAGAGTAGAAGCAAAAGCAAAGAGTAGAAGAAAATCTGAGGGCTAAAAATAAACTTGTTTCAAATTTTGGCGAGTATTATCCCAGCCCAGATTGAAACTACAAACTAGATTATCTCCAGTCTAATCACCCAGCTTCCTCTAAAACCCCAATGTCAAAAGAATTGGTTGGATAGAAAAGTTTGAATAACAGTAGTTAGGTTTTTAAATAGTATGTTTAATGTGTAGAAGCAAAAAAAAAAAAAAAAAAGATCATGTGCTGTGGGGCAGCAAAGAAACAGCTTATAATTCACCACCTGCATTTCTGAAAGCCTTGTCTGGTGTATTTCTGACTCAGGGCATGCAGGCACAAGTTAAGAGCCCTAAGTGTTTGTGAATCCAGAGCTTTTATAGTTGGCACAGAGGAAAGACCTGGGACATGTAGAGGAATTGGAATTCTAAGGAGGACAAATGTGTTGTTTTTTTTCAATGTTCAGTTTTCTTTTGTTTGCAGAACAGGCAGTTCTACTTTTTCCTTATCCACCACTGACTAGATTCTGGCAGGGTGGAAAACAAAAAGCCCTCAATAAAGGTCCCCAATGGCCTCTGCAGTAGCCCTCGAGCCCTGTTGCACTTTGCTCCCCAATCTTCCCTTCCTGTCTGGTCACCTTAGTTCCACAGTCAGATTTCTGGGAGGTTTTTGGTTTGATTTTGACTGGGTTTTTTGTTGTTGTTGTTGTTTGTTTTTTGTTTTTGCTTTGGTTTTCTGTGTTGCACGTGAATGGAATCATGTGCTGTTTGTCTTCCCCCTTCTGACTATCGTTGCTTGGTGTGATTCCCCCCATGTGGTCATGGGGGGAATTTCATCTTTTTCTGGCTGAGCCGTGTTCTTTTGCGTATATAACCACTTACTATGCCTTGCTTGGTGATTGGTGCTTTCCTCCCACTAGGCTCTGGCCTTTTTTAGAGCAAGCCCCTTATCTTATTAAGATTTATGTTCAGCGAGCAACTAGGATATGCTACGTAACCTTTGGACATGTACAAATTACCTGTTGTAATTTTATTTCCAATTTTATTTCCAAGGAGAAAAGATGGTTTTTATAGCATAGATCAACCTAGGAGGGTAAGGAGCTTTTAATGGAAGCAGAAATACAGTTCTCTGCTTTCAAAGTGCATATTTTTGAACACTTACTCCTCTGACCCCTCAAGTATTCAATAATTATTTTTAAAAATATATAATTCCCTTGTATGATTTATTCTCCTTCATTATTTAAATCATATGACGGCATCATACTTTCAAGAACTTGGCTCATTGTCTTTTCTTGAACTATTATAATCTGCTATCAAATTTTTAAAAATACATATTACAAAACCCAGTTTTCTTAATTCCTTTTTAAAAATACGCATTTTAGATGAGATTATTACAAAGATCTCCTCCAGCCTCCTATAAATGTTTTCATTAATAATTCTGTATAATAGGAAATAAATAAATGAAAGCACTTATGATTTTTATAAAGCCTCAAATGAAAGCACTTATGATTTTTATAAAGCCTCAAATCACAAAACATAATGAAAACTGACCCACAGTCACCCAATATGTGAAAAATGTTGTTTCCTCAACTTCTTTTTCATATCCAAATGATATCCACATTTTTTGTATGTGAAAAATTTTGTATTTCCTCAACTTCATTTTCATATGCAAATGATACAAAAAAGTCATTTTTGTAGATATGCTGACATGTTTAAAATTAATGCAGGCACTTCAGAAATCTCTCTGGCCCAGGACCTATAGTGTACCTAACTGTACCCCTTGCCAGCACTAGTGATCTTAGCCTGTAACCATCATTATTTGATGGAAATTCTCTCTACATTCCTTAATTTAAAAAAAAGATGGTAGGAAATTGGAGAGAATGCTGACTACAGTTTGCAGTTTCCCAATATTTTCCCAGACCCCTTTAAGTTAATTCATGACATACATGACGTATTTAACCAATGAAAATGTTAAAAATAACAATTTGATAAATGTCATTCCTTGACATGCAATATTAATTCATAAGTAAATGAAAGAAATGTCCCTTAATTGAATAACATATTATTCAATTAAATTTTATCTACGGAGAATAGTGTTTATTATCTAAATTAAAATAATTATGTCATGTTTGCTATTTTCTTAACAGATTGGATTCTTCAAAAGACCGTTAAAGAAGAAAATGGAAAAATGAACTATTTTTCAAGAGAAAAAAATAATTATTGAAAGATCTAGTCTCAGGTTTGCCTCAAATATGTGACAGAAATTTATAAATATAATTAAAGACAGTCACATAACTTTATGTAATCCATCAGGGATTAATCACTCAGAAAATGACAGATCAAGCAAGATCCAAAAGTGATACCATAAAGATATGTTTTATAAAATGATGAAAAATATTTTTCAATACTCATTTTTGTTGAGTAAGCAAAATTAGTGTTTTGAAGATGGAGAATAACCTATATAAATGTTTATATATTAAATCACCACTCAAACTATTTAAGAAATACATCATATTTTTATGATTATTAAAGCATTTTCTTTCAAAGCAATGTAAATTAAGCTTTTCCCCTTGATTCCTGATGGATATCCACATTTAGCATGGCAGTCACGATTTGTAAGTGCCAAGAGAAAAATTACCTCCAAAAATCACTTCTCTCAAGTGAGAGTCTATATACAATATGGAATGAAAATAGAACTAACTCAATGAGAATATATTCAGCAACCTTGTGTTGGGTTTTGTCCTTGGAAAAAAAATTTTCCCAGAGTGTTTGGAAAATAGTGTGACTGAGCTGAAATTCAATCTAGAATGGAAAATCAAGAAAGACTTTTTTACAGAACACATTTAATTTTGATATGTCATTCTAAAACTCAAAATTGTTTTATATTGAAAAACATGGCAGTGTTTTGTTACAAAACAAACAAACAAACATGTTATGAATGCAATGTGCAAAATGGTTCCTGAGTGATTGATTGGAGCATGGCAGCATAGTTAGACCATGAAATTCTGAGGTCATCTTTGCTGGGAATCTTTTGAATATAAGTGGTTCTAGTATAGAACACAAAATGGGACGTTGCTTAACTCCGTGGTACATGGCCCACAAGCTGTGAGAGTGTCTGTTTTAAACTTTTTAAAGGTGTTTGTTTCTTTTTATGAGAAGACAGTATTCTATTTCAATAATGCATTCTATGCAGAAATCACTACATTTTGACTGTGATGTATCAACATTTAAATAGAATTCTGAAAATGTATTTTAAAGAATTTCAGGTTTGAAACTTTGCACCAACCAAAAGATGTCACACCTATGAGCTTCTCTGCCCTTGAAGTGACCATCATGGTGCCTTGGACTCTGCTGTAGCATAGGCACCTAGATTGCTCCATTTATTAGGAAAATATAAATGAATGAATAACTGTATAACAGCTGCATGTGTGAACTACTGCTGTAACGTTTGCTGATTCTGCAACTTTGTCCCGCTACACTTACAAATTCTGATTTACAATCATCCAGAAAATCTTTGTCTCAAAAAACAGCAAATCAACAGAGAAATGAAACGCCTTGGGTATAATTTTTTAAACTAATTTCCAAGGAATTTTCTGGAGACTCAGAGTCAGCCTACCTCATAGCTCTCCAAGTCAACATCTAATATCCTCATGGTCAAAGCCATGTGTCTGGGGAGGACCGAGGTCATCAGTAACTGAAAAAACGCTAATTATTTCCAGAGATTTGGTATTCTATTGCTAGCTTGTCATTGTTCAGAAATGTCCAGTGGAAATTCCTTCAACTCAGCTGCCTCTCTGTACTTTCTCTCTTACTTTCTCAACTTTTAACTTCTTTCTTCTGCAAGTTCCTATCATTTTATCAATATTATCAATGTACCTGGCACAATTTTTAGCATGCCATTCCTGGTTTTGAATATGAACCAAATAAGGCACTTCTTGATTATTATAATTTGTTGAGGTTTATGTGTGTGTTTGTGCATGTGTGCATATGTTTATAAACACACACACCCACTAGTAGTAGAATTTACAAATGAACATGCAAAAGCTACACCAAGAAAATTTGACTTATCCACTTTTCATACAATTTTTTCATAAATCTTTAAGTTTAGTTTATGCACTGTAATTACATAAAAATCAGGTTTTGATTTTTACAAAAGAAGTTCCAAAATAATTTTGTACAAATATTCTAAAATAGGTAATAATTAAGTAATACACTAATTGCCATCATTTTCTTTTAAAACATTTAATAAGATGTGTGAATGATATTTAAGACTATGAGATTAGTGGACAAACTAAGTTACAAAAAACTTTCTTTTTTAAAAACTTTGTTTTTTTAAAACACTTGATCATTTATACCACTGTGAACTGAACTATGTATGGCATATTGGTAAATACTGGCCCTCCTCAAGAAAGAAATTCTCTAATTTGTATCTTGTGACAATTTCTATAGTCTACATAATTTAGCCATCTCCATTTTCCAGCTGCCAAAGTAACCCTAACCCAGTTTGCAAAAATCGTCAAAAACTATCTGTCAGCAATCATGAACCAATATGAGCTGATCTTAGCCTATTGGTGAGATATATGGTAGGTGGACAGATGATTGATTGATACATAAACTTGTTGTGTGTGTACATACATATATATGTGTGTGTATGTGTATACACACACATATATATACAAACATACAATATAAACATTTCAAATTATGCTTAAAATGTTGATCTCAATCTCAATAGATATACTGCTATATAATTACTTATTCTTCTATTTCAATTTATAAAATTATGAACTTCCTTTAATATTGATGAAATGATAGGAACATGTAGAAAGAAGCAGGGAAATGTATATATAAAGTGATGCAGTGAAAAAAAATCACACTTCATCCACAGAAAAAAATTATTTCACTTTCTCTAGGAGTCCAGAGTTCTGGAATGATATTTTGAAAAGTCATTCTTTTAAATATTTCTAATCTCTATGATCCAACTTGAACGTCAGTGGTCCAATTTCTTCATTGTTTTCTCTGAGCAATAGGATCATGAATAATCTCTGAATATTTTCCATACCATAATAGGAATTGAAAAGAGCTTATGGTAGTGTTCTTATAAAATTTGATATTTATCAATCATAATAATTTTACCTATAAATGTGTGTATATATGTACACATATATCTTTGTATGTATATGCATTCACACACATGTGTCACCTTTTCCTTTTATAAAACCAATGTCTAAGCTCAATTGGAAAAGAAACATTTGTGCCTAACGGAAATAGTGTTGCATAGTGACTAGTCAAGCTGGGTTTTAGCAGAGGCTGTGGGAAACCCTACCTATATTCTCTCTAGGTATCCCCCAAAGACCACAGCTTGCACTGTGTAAATGGCCAGACACTACACCCCTCCCCATAGATCTCTGGAATGTACTTTCCTATAAAATAATGTCTTTGTGAATCATGCACTCTACTCCATGTAAATCGACTCTCTTGCTTTGCACAACATTGAAAAATCTAGGGAAGACCCTAAGATCAGCAGATGGGCCAGGTGCGATCATATTATTTCAAATAAAGGGCTTCTGTCAAATTGGATCAAAAACATGGATACTATGTATTCTGTTAATTTGCTTTGTAAATGTGAACACTTCTCAAATCCCTTCTCTAGTCTCCCCTAAGGGAGATTTTCAAGAAGACTACTGGAGAAAAATCTGTTCAAAATGTGCGCTCTGTTTGCTGATAACTGGTAAGCTTCAATGAATGGCTCATTTGTACGAGATTGCAGTCCTCAGTTCTCCCATGGTGTTCTGAAGAGTTGGCATGGTGGAATGTAGTGGGGATAAAATGCAATTTACTGCAACAATGGGACATCTTTAAGAGATTAACCAGCTTTTGTAGGAAACTGTCAGCATCTGTGCCAGTGGGCAAGTGATCTCCATCAGCACCCCCAACCCCCATACTCACCCAAGGAAATAATCTAAATAATCTAAAGAATGAAAAGGACTAAAATCTTCAAACTGGCCTGTCTACCTTTTTGACTAAAATATCTTATTTCACTGTATCCCGCAGACTTTTTCATGCAGGCACAGCTGTGAGGTGGGTCATCTAGGCCTTATCTAACAAACTGCTGACCCAAATCCCTTTGACACAGAACCTGTGAAACTACCCCTGGATGTTAACTCTGCAGTGAAAGGAGAATGGCAGTGTCTTACAGAGGGTGAAAGGCTGCCACCTCCCTAGGGGGAACCCTGTTTGTGCAACACTAGTGTGTAGAACATTAGAGAGAAAACCTCAAGTTGTAATTTGATAAGCAAGTGAAAAAATCCAGTAGCCACCTTTAACCATCACCCTTGAAGAAGCATAAAGGCACATGTGTAGACTTTGAAGCCCCAGGTTCACTGTACTTCATGACATCTAGCATTGGAGGTCTGGCTCTGCCCTGATAGGGATGGATCCTCCTCACCATAAATGCCCTGACCTAAACCTCGGAGTCCACTCTGTCCCAGCCATTAGCCTCCCTGAGCCCTTCCTACACACATGCCTCAGATAATACACATAAGCACATCTTGTGGAAATTTTACCATAACATGAAATATGGAGTTATCACTTACAATGTTAGACACCTTGCTTTGAAATCAGTTTTTTTTTATTCTCCTTTGAAAATATATTAGAATCTTTCCCCCGTAGCTAGTAAGTTCAGAACTATACATAAGACTTCTTGCATTTACCTGCTACCAGATTGCAGAATTGTAATGCCGTGAGTGCTGGGCCGCAAGACCCAGAGCCCATTTGCAGGATTTCACTGCCTTCTGCCTTCTATTGTGTTCTTCTCAATTGCACAGGGGCGATGACTTGTTTGGATTTGAGGCTTCCCTGGCAAGACCATTCTAACCATTGGCATTCTCGTTGGTGAGCTAACACAGCATGGAAGTCACGGCAATGAATTAAAGACTAGTGACGTGACTGTGATTTTGTTGGAATTTTCTGTGTTTCAAGTAACTTATTTATGAAAAAATGATAAGTCTGGAATGGTAGCTCTTCTGCAAAAGACTGAGATTAAATGTCCATTCTTTTATTTCATTTGCCCTATCTTTATAGTTGGTACAAAATTTTAAAAAGAAAACTTCCAAGCAATACAGACTGGAAGTCAGTTGTCCTCTTGAGCCAGCCCCTGGCGATCTTATTTATTCCCACTCTCAGAGATAGAGTTCAGGTGGGGGAAAGGAAGTGACGCCATTGTTGCTCTCCTCCACAGAGTAGCCAGGCAGAAGGAAGCCACCATGCAGAACTTGACTGTGGCTTCTCAGAGACTGTGGCATCATATCCAGAGCCAGGGGCCATCTTTCTGTCCTGCCCCTGCAGCGTTTTGCATCTTGAGAGACAGGGAAAAAAAAATGGGGAAGGAAGAAGCAGATGAAGTTATTTATCTTGTATGTATACATCTTTACTCCTCCAAATACTGTAAGCTCCCTTAGATGGCGTCATGCCCACCCACAATACTAACACATGTACTTTCACAAAGTAAATTGTTGATTAAATAAGAGCAAAAGTATATCTTTACCTGTCTATAAACCAGGACTAATTTCCTGGAGCTTAACACACTTTGGGCTCAAGTGAAAACAATTATTTGAGGCAACAACTCAGACCTTCTGCATAGCAGAACCTGTTCACACAGGACATTCCAACACTGAGTGCTTAATTCCGGAGACATCTCCTGTACTTCCTCAGCATGCTGCAGTCTGCTCTGCAGTCTTTACTAGGAAAAGTTGGCCTGTAGAGAGAATGGTCTACTATGTATTACTACTGTGAGATTGTAAAATTGTTCCTGGACAGTGTAAAGAATTGTATCCATTTTATTCAAAAGAAAATTGTTATGTATAAGGGTTGTCCTGAAACGTGTATCATTCTCACACCATTAAACCTTTCTGTATGGTCTAACATGAAGTACATTGTATGGCTTCATTTTTATTTCCGTCAAAATAAGCTCATTAAGGCGAATGACTTAAGGGTATGTGCATTTCTATGAGAACTTTATTAGACAAAACTCATTAAGAGAAGGTATCTTGATCACATTCAAAAGCAAAGAGCAATCTTTGTAACTCTGGTAATTCACTGGGTGACTTTTTTTTATTTTATAACAGTTTATTTTTACATCATTTTGTACATTTTTTTTTCCATCTCAATTGTAATCCCCATGAGTTTCCCATCACCATGTCACTGGGTGACTTTTTAAACCTATTTTTTTTTAAGAGAAATCAGTTATTAGGTTGCAGTCATTAAACTGACAGAACTAAAAATTGCTGAGCAAGGAAAACAGTGTGTATGTGCTCTACATGTGTGTCTCCTGTACATTGATTTGAAGTAAGGAGTTTGTTATTATTGTAAATCTCTGTCTTATCTTGTGCATCCAATAGGGTATTGATAGTTTACATCAAGGCAAGTGGGCATGCAATCTTATATGTTAAATAAAAGAATGATCCAAAGAAGAATGTGATATTTGTGATTTTAAGTACATGAATTTCATCCAAGATTAATGCTTCTCCCAAAGTTCCGGTTTTAGCTTCTTATTAGATATTAACTGTGATGCTCTAAACAAACAAACAAAAAAAAAACAAAAAGCAAATGAGATCTGTCTCTGGTGTTTCCTGCACACAATAAAGTAATGTGATTAATCTTTCCCAAACTTGAGACAAAAACCACAGAATCTATTTTACTACATATCTTCTCCTAATGAGAGGTTTTAAATAATAAATTATATCCTGTATGATAACAGATTGGCTCATGAAGTGTGAAACAAAAATAAGAAGTAAAAATAACGGTTATTTTCTTTACTTGATCTTTAGTTTAAAGAGATAAAAGTATTTAATATTTAAGGTCTAGAGTTTACTCATATATAGAATATAAAGAAACAAAACAAATGATAAAACAAACAAAATAAAGACAAACCCTTATACTGTACTCTGAAAACAAAATTGTAGTTATCAGAAGGGAAGAGGATGATGGTGAGAGGAACTGGATTGTGGTGGAAGGTAAGTAGAATTTTGATGGTGGGTGGAATGTGATAAGTACATATTATGAGGTATAAAACAGTTTTTAATGCATAAGTATGTAAACCAATTGCACATCAATTAAAAATAAAATTAAGT